CAGTAGAATAAGAGACTATGGCGACTACTGCTTACACATATAGTGTAATCCGCCCAGGGAGACCGTTATCCCTGTCCAATTTACATCAGGAATGTGCAGCCTATGTTCTCCAAAAGGGCTGCACATGGAATACTTGGAAGTTCTGTGAAGATGAAGATCTGAGTTCTTGTTCATTATGTTCATTGTTTTTGGGCGAACTGAGTTTGACTGTTAAATATATTTGCATAGAGAACAACATATTACTGGAGGGATGTAACTTTCATATTTTTTCCATATAAATATGACGACTTTGAAAATTGTTACTTACAATATTAATGGAGTAAATCACGTTATAAAAAGGAAAAAAATTCTATCACAATTAAAAAGCTTGAATTGTACAATTGGGCTTTTACAAGAAACTCATTTAAATGAGATAGAACATGCTAAATTAAAGAGAGAGTGGGTGGGACAGATATTCAGTGCATCTTATGGAAACTACAAAAAAAGAGGAGTAGCAATACTGTTTCACAAATCTCTAAGCTTTGTAGCAGAAAACGTACTCAAAGATAAAGAAGGCCGCTGGCTAATGGTGGTTGGTTGAATGGAGGAACCACTCTTACAATTATGAATATTTACGCCCCAAATGAGGATAATCCAGGTTTTTTTCAAGAACTAGCCCAAATCTTGGCGGGTCACTCAAAAGGAGTGATTATTCTAGGGGGAGACTTCAACTGTGTCTTGAACCATTACATTGACAAATTTCCAGCAGAACAAAAATATCAACTATCAAAAACAAAAGCGTTGAAGAATCTATTAGAGGAATTGGGGCTGGTTGATATTTGGCGTGCAAAACACCCAAAGATCAGAGACTATACTCACTTCTCAAAGGTTCATAGAAGCCATTCAAGAATAGACTTCTTTTGTGTTTCCAAACAGGCATCCCACAGAGTGGCGGATTGTCACATTGAACCTCAAACTATTTCAGACCATGGACCTATGATAATGTCTTTAAATATCGACCTGGAGAAACCTTTCAAGTTATGGAGACTGAATGTATCACTTTTAAATAACCCGGAGGCAATCCAATATATAAAAGACGAATTAAATTTCTTTTTAGATATCAATGATGCGGACGAGATTTCACCATCTACTCTGTGGGATACAGCCAAAGCATACTTGAGGGGTAAAATTATCTCATTTTCTTCAAAAGTTAATAAAAGAACGTGAAAAAAAACAAGAAGACTTAGAAGAACACATTAAGAAACTTGAGACCAAACACAAACGAACAAATGAAGAAAATGTATTACAGGAACTTAGAAAATGTAGACAGGATTTGAATGAGTTACTAACTTATAAAGCAGAGGGCGCTTTACGTTTTGCAAACCAAAAATACTATGAACAGGGAAATAAAGCAAGCAGACTATTAGCATTTCAATTAAGAAAATCACAGGCAAGTCGAACCGTTCAAAAAATCACGTGCCCAATATCTAAAAATCTAGTATCGCATCCTAAAGAAATTGCAAATGCATTTTCAAAATATTATAGACAACTATATAATTCGGAGACCAATCCTAACAAATTAAATATAATTAGGCAATTTTTGCAACAAATTAATCTGAATAAACTTGACGAGGAGGAAGCTAAATCATTAGTGGGGACAATTACCGAAGAAGAGATAAAACTTGTTATAGGAAAGCTTAAGAATAATAAATCACCAGGGGCGGACGGATTCCCAGGAGAATTCTATAAATGCTTTCAGACTGAGCTTATCCCACTCTTATGCAGAGTATTTAATCATGCTCTGGGCCACAAAGACCCACCTAAAACATGGGCAGAAGCAATTATTTCGGTTATACACAAAGAAGGCAAAGACCCCACACAATGCGCCTCTTATAGACCAATAAGTCTGCTGTGCAATGACGTTAAAATTTTAAGTGCCATCTTGTCCAAAAGACTACAAAAGATTATTAATAAACTTATCAATCCTGATCAGACAGGCTTTATACCCAATAGACTCGGAATAAATAATATCAGACGTACTCTAAATATAATTTCAATTGGCCAACAAAGCCCTTATACATCCATGCTTCTTGGCCTAGATGCCGAGAAGGCATTCGATCGGGTGGACTGGTTATTTCTGAAGCAGGTCCTATTGAAGATGGGCTTTAATGAAAACTTTATCAGTTGGTTTGAGGTGCTGTACTCCAGTCCAACCTCTAGAGTGCGCACTAACAGTTATATGTCAGATAGTTTTTCCTTGAAAAGAGGAACTCGTCAGGGCTGCTGTCTTTCACCAATCCTGTTTGCTATCAGTATAGAACCTTTAGCAGAATTAATAAGAACAGATAAATCATTTCTAGGCATAACGGATAAAATCAGGACTCACAAAATATCTCTGTATGCTGATGATGTTATATTTTAAAATGCCTGAAGGACTTCGGTGCGGTCTCAGGATACAAAGTAAATGAATCAAAATCAGAGGCCATGATGCTGAGTGGCTCCTGGCCCTCAGAACTATCATAATTAGTGAATTTCAACTGGTCACCTAACGGATTTCGATATCTGGGAATCAATATTACTACGGATGTTTCCAAATTGTATACAGCAAACTTTGGGAAGCTATTGGTCCAAATTCAAAAAGACTTAGATAGATGGGACATTTTACCACTTTCCTTTTTTGGAAGGATTGAAACAATCAGAATGACTATTCTCCCTAGATTGCCCTTCCTATTTGGATTCCAACAACAAAATTAAATAAAATGCAAAAAATGATTTCTACATTTATTTGGCAAAAGAGAAAGGCCAGAATAAAACTTACTCAATTGACTATTGGTAAACCTTATGGAGGTCTTAATGTACCAAACTTAAAATTATATTACTGGGCAGCACAATTACATGCAAGTGTAGGCTGGCTAACACAAAATAAAGAAATAACATGGCTGACATTGGAAGAGAGCGCAAGCCCTAAATTTTCTCTACAGGCCCTGGTATTCTGCTCGACTGAAATATGGAATAAGTACAAAATTACAAATATATGGATGAAAAGCACTCAAAGGACTTTAAACATGATTAGAAAGAATATGAAAGCTCCCCAATTTATTTCCAGAGCCTCAAGAATTTTGGATATAATAGACTTTAAACCAGGACAACAAGATCCAGGATTTCGAACCTGGCAAAACAAAAATTTAATTTTTATTGATGACTTGTTTGAAGGGGAGGTTCTGAAGTCTTTTAACCAGATTAAGGAGAATTACGGCTTGAACACGCCTGATTTTTATAGGTATTTACAACTGAGAAGCTACCTGATGTCCCACAACGAGTGGTCCCTTCTTCAGTCAGGGCCTACTGATTTAGAATTATTCTTTATAAAGATCCCCAAAGAAAAAAAATCTAAGAATACTGTGTCGAATCTATACAAATGCTTACAGTCATGTCTGTCGAGTGCAGCTCCTGGGATAAAAGAAAGATGGGAACTGGAAATGAATGATGTGATTGAAGATGAGGAGTGGGAGCAAGTGTGTATAACTGGACATAAACTGACTAATAGTCCAACATGGAAAGAATTTTATTGGAAAATAATTGTCAGATATTTCAAAACTCCGTACATTATTTCCAAATTTGATCAAACTAAACCAACTTGTGCTGGAGACAGTGCGGACTAGTTGCAGATCAGACTCATGTCTTTTGGGATTGCCCAAAGATTAAGAAATTCTGGGAAGGAATTAGAGAGGAAATTTCAAATATCTTGCATGCTGATATTGATTGGAATCCCCGGATCTTTGTTCTGGGAATTCCACCAAATAATTTAAGTAAAGAAGAAGAACACTTATTTGGTATCCTTGTTCTCGTAGCCAAAAAAATGATAACAATATGCTGGTATAAACCTTCACCCCCTACTGTAAATCAATGGAAAGAGAAACTAGTGAATGTTTATATGATGGAGAAAATAACAGCAAAATTAAACTTGTCCACTGGTCTATTTGAGAAAAGATGGAACCCTTTGAAGACATATTTCCAGTTAATGTGATAGTAGGATAAGCGTAAACACACATTTCTGTTATGATAAAAATAAAAATTACTCGGGAGAGATCTTTCCTTTGTCTGATCCTCCAAGTTAATAAAAAAAAAAAAAAATAATAATAATAATAATATATATATATATATAATAATGATAAAGAAGAAAAAGGAAAAAGAAAACATGGCTCTTCAGCTCGCCGACCTGTTTGGTTGTTGTTACCCAATTTTTTGTATGGTTGTATTGAAACTGTTGTTTCTGGCTTATTGTATGAATCAGTGATTTTGAATACTGATCTGATAAAATAAAGTCTTTGTTCAAAAAAAAAAAAAAACAGACAAAAATATTATACCATGCACATAAATAAATGCTTAAAAATATAAGTAATTAAAAAATAAAGTTGAAGATTATAAAGGACAGAAAAATAAATAAGGTAAATATTACAAAGGCAAATAAATAAAGAAGCTAATTAAGAGTTATATACATTTATGTCTCACTTTTTTGTTGGCAATTAATTGTATGCTTATACATTTATTGAGCATTTATTTATTTTTGTATTTATTTTTAAATATGGCAGAGTTGGTCCTTCATACGTGTGTGGTTGGAACAACTTAACAGTGTAAAGGTTTCGGTCAATTTACCTCTTTGATAGAGGTAAACCATAAATGGCCTCTACCCTTTAAAGTCAGGGGACTTTAAATTGCTTTACACTACATTCAGTCAATCAAGATGAAGAATATGAAGTTGTAGTTCATCATTCCTGATTATTCCATCTACTTTGGTTTAAACCCTAAATATGATGCTACAGTATGTTATGGTTAAGAGGGAGTAGTGTTTTCTGATTTACAAACTTTTTTCAAAGGTGGTCCAAATTAAACATCAAAGATACGCATGAAGACAGATTAATATAAAACTGATTCTAATGAGCCTTGTATGTTACTTCTGACTTGACCTAACATTTTCATATTCCCTTTAGGAGCTCTGTCTGTGTGAGTTGTTTTTCTACCTGGAGGACAGGGTTGTGGTTTTGCGCTGCCTTTTGGACAGTAGTAACCTGCAGGACAGACGTCTCCATGGGCTGAATCATCACCAATTTGGGTTGAAAATGCTACTGCTGGAAGACACAATACATTGTTATTAGATTCCTTTAGTAGATTTGTTAGCAAACTGGCTGACACACCAAAATTATTTTCAGGACCCACTGTTAAAGAGACATACAATAATAATAATTGAATTAAAAAACTAGAACTAATCAGAAAATGTTGAAAGGTATTAGAAATCCTTAAAAATTGATAGAGGGACAATTTACAGGTGCTGGTCATAAAATTAGAATATCATGAAAAAGTAGATTGATTTCAGTAATTCCATTTAAAAAGTGAAACTTGTATATTATATTCATACATTACATACAAACTCATATATTTCAGATGTTTATTTTGTTTAATTTTGATGATTACAAATGACAACAAATGAAAATCTCAAATTCATCATATCAGAAAATTAGAATATTACTGAAGACCAATAAAAACAAAGGATTTATAGAAATGTTGGCCAACTGAAAAGTATGAACATGAAAAGTATGAGCATGTACAGCACTCAGTATTTAGTTGGGCCTCCTTTGGCCTGTATTACTGCAGCAATGCGGCGTGGCATGGAGTCGATCAGTCTGTGGCACTGTTCAGGTGTTATGATAGCCCAGGTTGCTCTAATAGTGGCTTTTAGCTCTTCTGAATTGTTGGGTCTGGTGTATTGCATCTTCTTCTTCACAATACCCCATAGATTTTCTATGGGGTTAAGGTCAGGAGAGTTTGCTGGCCAATTAAGAACAGGGATACCATGGTCCTTCAACCAGGTACTGGTAGCTTTGGCACTGTGTGCAGGTGCCAAGTCCTGTTGGAAAATGAAATCTGCATCTCCAAAAAGTTGGTCAGCTGCAGGAAGCATGAAGTGCTCTAAAACTTCCTGGTATGTGGCTGCGTTGACCCTGGACCTCAGAAAACACAATGGACCAACACCAGCAGATGACATGGCACCCCAAACCATCACTGACTGTGGAAACTTTACACTGGACTTCAAGCAACGTGGATGAAGTGCCTCTCTTCTTTTCCTCCAGACTCTGGGACCTTGATTTCCAAAGGAAATGCAAAATTTACTTTCATCAGAGAACATGACTTTGGACCACTCACCAGCAGTCCAGTCCTGTTTCTCTTTAGCCCAGGCAAGACGCTTCTGACGCTGTCTGTGGTTCAAGAGTGGCTTGACACAAGGAATGCGACAGCAGAAACCCATGTCTTTCATACGTCTGTGTGTGGTGGTTCTTGAAGCACTCACTCCAGCTGCAGTCCACTCTTTGTGAATCTCCCCCACATTTTTGAATGGGTTTTGTTTCACAATCCTCTCCAGGGTGCGGTTATCTCTCTTGCTTGTACACTTTTTTCGACCACATCTTTTCCTTCCCTTCGCCTCTCTATTAATGTGCTTGGACACTGAGCTCTGTGAACAGCCAGCCTCTTTAGCGATGACCTTTTGTGTCTTGCCCTCCTTGTGCAAGGTGTCGATGGTCGTCTTTTGGACAACTGTCAAGTCAGCAGTCTTCCCCATGATTGTGTAGCCTATAGAACTAGACTGAAAGACCATTTAAAGGCTTTTGCAGGTGGTTTGAGTTAATTAGCTGATTAGAGTGTGGCACCAGGGGCCATCAATTTTGAACCTTTTCACAATATTCTAATTTTCTGATATGATGAATTTGAGATTTTCATTTGTTGTCATTTGTAATCATCAAAATTAAACAAAATAAACATCTGAAATATATGAGTTTGTATGTAATGTATGAATATAATATACAAGTTTCACTTTTTAAATGGAATTACTGAAATCAATCTACTTTTTCATGATATTCTAATTTTATGACCAGCACCTGTAAGTTACTTTGTATTTCCTTTGAAATATTTTACCAAATGACTTGTTCAGAATATTTCCTATGTATTATATATACAGTCGTATGTTTATATCACTTTTTTTTCACCAGTGTTTTTTTCATCATTGTGTTTTTATCACTGCTGCTTAGCTTTATCGAGGCTGCACTTAAAAAAATGAAAAAGTCTAGAGAGCTGTACTAAACAAAATTTATTTTTGCACACATTAGACAAATCTGTCTAAGTCTAATTTAATATAGTAATCAGAAGTGCAATGAGTGAAATAGTACTAGTGGTATTTCCCGAAGGTGAGGCAGCTGCTGATCCCTCTCTACAGAAGAAACCAGGGTTGCAGAGTCCAGATGGAGAAGATGCTCCTGGCTTCGCACAGTAGTGGCCGGGCAAACATGGCTGACATACTTCTTGAGACACTGCACCTAATATGAAATAGAAAAAAAAAATGTTGAACAAAAGGAAAAAAAAAAATAAATATGGTATAAAACTGTAATAGTTCCTGGCTTTTCAATGGCTTATTTTTGATTATCAGGATAAAAAACTGATAAAAAAATATCAAGTGGCCATTAAAATATTGCATTGCAAGCTATGGGTAAGATGAAAAAAGTATTTTCAAGTCTCTCAATAATAAACTCTAAATCGGATAATGAGTGTGAAACTTTATCTTCATTCATGTCTTTAATTTACTTTTATCATTTGATCTAATGCATCTGATTGACTTAATTTTCTGCCTTTTTATCAGGGTAATATAATCTCATGTTTTGTAATAAACACTATCTATATATTTATCTATCTATTTTCTTTTTACAGCAGAATAAATTATGTGTAAATAATAATAGATGCTGCATCTGTGCTTTATCATATTTACAACTGACCAAACACCTCATCAGTTGAAAACCTCAACAGTAATTTAAAACTGTGACATATTCATTTTGATGATTGTTTAAAAACAGTTTTGTTTTTTTTTGTTTTTTTTTCATTCCATCACCTGCTATGGAGCTAAAGGTGCCAGCAGGGCAAGGAACCATGTAGTTTGTTCCCTGTGGACAGTAGAACCCAGCAGAGCATGGCCGTCCTGTTGGACCCTCCTCTGGTTGGGAGGAAACAGAGCCTTGGATACAAAGGAAACTATGGAGAGAGAGGACAATTAAGCAGAGGTAATTGGTGTGTTATGTGAACAAATAATAGAAAAACAATTTCAATTAAACGTAGATGGTCTACAATCTTTGTGGGTAAATAACAGCTTTATTTTACCCAGGAGAGCAGACCCCAGAGGGAGCAGCTAGACCAGAGGAACTGCAGTATCTCCCAGGTGGGCAGAGCTCACAGTCTGACTTATTGGACAACCCCATCTGGTTACTGAAAGTGCCAGCTGGGCATGGGAATGCTACACCAGTCTGGGTTCCTGTAAAACATTTATTGTGTCTACAGATGGCTGAGGGCTAAACATCAAAGAACAATTTATGGTGACCATGTCCACCTCGATTATGCTCAGCAATAGCCATTAGTGTAATTGGAAAGCCGTTTAGTGGTGCAGTCACTCATTCAGGGGAGCAAACAAAACAAGTTCAGTAATGCACTCTGTTTACAACACATAATATTCCAACAACCAGTCTCACAGGGGCTGGGTGCAGCACTAGTCACATTTATTGTTGACAACGTAGTGCAAAAAGGCTGTACATTTGCTACAAAGGTCATTTAATATTCACTAGATTATAGCTTACCAGGTGGGCAATAATGTCCTTTAGGACAAGGCATGGGAGTTTGAGTTCCTGACACATTGCCAGCATCTGCATTGATCGAACCAGGACAAAAAAATCCAGCTGGACATTCAATACAGTCTGCCTGTGGGAAAGTAATTATCTTTAGATAAAACTAAGCTTATAATAATTATCCGGGCAATAGATTTTAACACACGGTGCTAAAGATTTTTTATGAGATCTAAAACTATAATAAAAAATGCTTATCCTCACCTGACCGGGCAAGTTTTGATAAGTCCCAGGCAAGCAGGACAACTGCCTATTAGATCCAGGTGGACATTTACTTCCAGGTGAGCAGGTGATACTGTCCTGCCAGTTGCTGTTTTCACTGCTTGGACAGTAAAAGCCAGCTGGACAAATATGAGAAGGAAAAGAGAGCCCTCTACTGATACAAAGAAAACCTACGAAACAAAAAACACATTTGTTAGGTGTCCTGCTACAGTTTCATTGGATTAATACCAAATAATTCAAATTGGTTCCAACCTGGAGGACAAGGCAGGCAGTCAGTGATATGACTGTTTCTGCTTTTGTTGCTGTAATGTCCTGAAGGACAGGGAAGAGGCGCAGAGGAGCCCTGAGTGCAGTAATGTCCTTCAGGACATCTACCACCAGTCACCCCTCCATCCTCTGGTGTGGGCGACCAAGCACCAGAAATACAGTAGTACCCTGCACTACAGAGGCCTGATGCAGCAGCTTTGCCAGGAGTTGCACAGAACGAGCCTGGTTGGTATATAACAAAGAAGGTGTTTTTTATCTCTCTTGTGCTAGAAATAATTTTAAGTTTCATTGGATTTACATAACTAACATTACATCTAAACATTTTAACAGCTCACTCCAAAGAGGACAATAATTTAATATCAAGATTTTTGAATTACCATCATTCATTACCATCATATTATCTATTTATCAACCGCTAAATATTTAATCAATCATAGCACTAAATAATGTTTGACCTGGAGGGCATGGCAAGCAGTCCTGGGGTTTTGTCATCTGAGTGCGAGGGTTGAAAGTTCCAGCTGGACATGGGAACTTGAATTTGGACCAAGTCCCGGTCGGGCAGTAATGACCCAATGGACACTCCAAACTCTCCAGCAGAGAGTTGTTATTGTTGCCAGGGCAATAAAATCTGCTTAGGCAAAACAAGAATGTAATAATATTTTTGTTTACTTCTGATGGCAGAAAGGTTTGTACTGTATATAGTCCTTATATATATATATATATATATATATATATATATATATATATATATATATATATATATATATATATATATATATATATATATATATTTATATATATATATATATATGTATATATATTTATATATATATATATATATGTATATGTATATACATTTAGAATATATACATTTAGTGTATATTCTAAATGTATATACACTTACATTTGGAAATCCCTTACATTTGGAAGGATAAATACTATGTTCAATGTACAACTGATGTACGACTGATAAGCAAGCATACCCCTGGGGACAGACACTGCAGCTGGCTTGGCCATCTTCTGTACTGATGGTTCCCAGGGGGCAGGGTTGAGGAGCTGCAGAACCCCCTGAACAGTAATAACCTGCTTGTGCAAAGACAAGCACCATGAAAGAGATGAACACACATAATGCACAGGAAACAATTTGATTACTATTCCCAACAGAGCAGCCACTTCTGTTTGGTGCCTTTAGCTTGGAAGAGCCTGCAGTTTATTTGTATGCTGAGTTCGCTTAAAGCTTATGTCAATAAAAATGGATGTGTTAAGAGCTAACACATCCCATTTGTACTTTTTCTTAGAAGTCATAAAACATAGTTTTATACTGTACTGTTTTAGCAAAAATAAAAACCTGATCTTATTGCATGACATATTACCACATATTTACACATCTCAGTAGTAATTAATTTCCTTCCTAAAATGATCTTATACATTTTGTAGAAGCTGATATGGATCATTGATCACCTTTTGGGCATGGACCTCCACGGTTGTCTTTGAAAGGAGGGTCAGGACGATCTGCACCCTCAGCGCAGAAGAATCCTTTCCAGCATTTTCCTGAAGGTGCTGAGAGCCCCACTGAGTCACAGTAGTAACCCGGGGAACATGGCTGACAATCCTCCTATAGGAAGATAAAAAGCACGAGGCAGGATATTAACTGTTTAAAAAAATGGAAACTGGTAAATTGGAAAAGTATCCCCAACCAGTTTACTGGTGGAACCAATCCTTTTGTATCATTTTAACTTTGATGTATTTTAATGGGACATTGTGTGATAACCAACACAAACTTGTTTGCTAAGGTAGAACTAAAAGAATGTACAATTTAAAATGTTAAATAAATGAAGAAACAGAAGAAAGGCTTCCAAAGAATGATGCTGCCATTGCAAAGTATTAACCTGTATCCATTGTTTCTGAAATCTTTATGCCAGTTTGTCTTTTGTTTATTTATTTTTTGTAAAAGCAAAATAGCTCAAAAAAGATTGCTCTTAATAATTATATTAAAAATTGCATCTTTAATCATGTAGGCGATGAAAAAAAAACAAAAAAACATAATCCCGGTTTCTTTCGAACCTTGGACACAGCATTGGTGATGTTAGAGAATGTTCCTGGAGGACAGGGCTGAGGATGAATGGTGGCCTGGGGACAGTAGTGCCCAACTGGACAAAGTCCTCCTCCTCCTCCTGGTAAGAGACGCTCGTCTCAAACAGAACACCAGAAGAGAACCACTTAAGACATCAACAAATAAAACAGCAGAACCAAATGGGATTACCTAAAGTAAACGAGTGACACTGGAAAGCAAATACACTTGTTTACCTGCAGCCTGTGAGAGAGGCTGGGGAGAGATGTTTCCATGTGAACAGTAGTATCCTTCCTGGCACGGTCCAGTGACAGCTGTGGCATTTTTGGAGGAGCAGTAATGGCCTCCATCGCATTGTCTGCACTGGGAGACAGACCAGTAGCCAGGATCTGGACCATAGGTTCCTTCTGGACAACTTCTTAAGGTAAATCCAGTCCCTTCAGGACAGTAAAATCCTGAAGTGCAAAGACAAAAAACAGAAATAGAAAACTAAGGAAAATAGATATTACTGGATAACTGTATGCTTCTTTGGTGCTTTTTTGGCAACAGCTCTGTGGTATAGTTACACATAAATATAGACTTAATTAGATTTTTTTTTTTTTTATTTCAGTTTATGTTTATAGAGAACAAACAAACAAACAAAAAAAACTACAAACCTGCCGGACAGAGGTGCAGAGAGCCAGACACACAGAACCAGCCTGGGAGACAAAGCTCACACTGACTTGCATGTGTTATAGCCACATAAGTCCCTGGATCACAAGGCAAAGGTTTAACTGTTCCCTCAGGGCAGTAGTGACCCTCAGGACAGGGTCCTCCTGAAATTCCATCAATGGGGGTAGATATGACAGCTCCCCCCAAGCAGTAATATCTGCATAAGAAATACAACAAAAGGAAATCATTTTGATGAAAAAATGGCCTGTATAGCTCTGCTCTAAAAAAACTTAGCTGTACCCTTCACTACACAATCCAATAGGTTTAGTAAGGCCAGCAGAGTCACAAAAATATCCCCCCAAACAAGCTTTACAATCTTCCTGGCTACGCAAGCCCAAGCTGTTTGACCAACTTCCCTCAGGGCAGGCTTGGGGGGCTGCAGTGCCTTTAAAGACAAGATGAAGAAAGCTGCATTAATAAGGAGTTTGCATAAAACAGTGAATATTCAAAGAATATTATGAATGTGGTGTTTGGTGAAATTATACAGTGTGACAATGCCTCACATAGTATGATCACATAAGAGCAAGGTATTAAAGAGACCCTCCTGATGAATGTTGGGTGCAGCGTTGGTGAACTGACAACAAATCCCTTTTGCCTTGAAGCAGCGTTTTTAAGAGATGGGTCAGCCAAGTAAAAGAGGGCATGCGTGGGACTAACTTCAAAGACAACAGGAAAGCAAAAGTCACAATACATATGTTGTCGGGGTTTGCTGATGGCCTCCAAATGGTAATTAACATGAATAATACATTATAGCTATACACTGTAATGGGCCAAAATGTTAATATTGTCCTTCATTATACATTATTCTACACTGCACTTAAATGAGTAGGAGGTTTTTAATGCAATATTTTACAAACAATACCTCAACAATATGCAGTGCCTATATAGCAACGGTGTAAGCTTATTAAAGAAAATGTATGTGTATGTGGGGTGAGGGGGGGTGTCAAGGAGGTAACAACCTGAAGAGCAGTAGTGACCAGGAGGGCACAGAGAGCCTGAGAAGTCATCCTTGGGGGAAGGTGAGAATGATCCAAGTTTGCAAAAATATCCAGCATTGCATGGTCCTATGTGTGGAAGGACATTTAGATAGTTCATCGATCTATTCAAGACAAATCTACAAGTCTCCAAAGCTTTGCACAGACCACATTTACCAGGGAATCACTCAAATTAGGAGTGGACAAATAAGTATCCTAAAATGATCTTTCAAATTTCACTTCGACGTGTTTTGTAGATCTATAAACTAAGATGGTGTATCTACTTGAAGGTTTTTATCTAAACAATAGGACTGGACAAATAAAATCTAAACATGCAAGGTCTTTATTTTGTTTATCTTTTGGGACAAAAAAAAATTTAGATTTAGGAAAGAACTGGGTCAAAACAAGTGAACTAGTCTGATGGGTTAGATCATTTATCAGATGGACCCTTGGACATTATCCAATATTTTGAACTAGGCTATATGATAGAATAATTAGGCTTCTCTGAACCTCTAAAGAAAGAGAATGCACTAAACCATGCAGAGAACCATGCAGTAAAACAATGCTAATGTTAGTGGGTTTTGTGAACTAGTAACTTTTCATCTCTTAAATTGTTTGCAAGATCCAGTACTAGATTTCCTCAAGATTAACACTTTAACCAAAGAACTGGTCATAAAGTCACCATAGACAAAAATGTGGAACAAATCAGTGTTGATAAATAACAAGTGTTGTGCTTGAATATTTTAGAACAGCCATGTCCAAAGTCGATCCTCGAGAGCCACTGAGCCAGCAGATTTTAGAGGTTTCCGTGCTTCATCACGGCTGATTTACCTTAATAGCTGATTAACAGGCTTTTGTTGAACTGCATTCAACAAAATTAGCTGTACTGAGGGCAAGAAACATTTGCTGAATTCGAATTTAGCGGCTGCAACCTCCGAAGGCCAAATTCGTCAGCTGACTACGTCATAGCGCAGTGCCGATGACGCAGCCGACAAATGCAGCCTTCTTTTTTCTGTTTTAAAGGACGGTCCGCTGTCTCCTACGTAGTCTTGGGTATGCCATGATTGGCCTTGGCATTGCAAGTCCAAGCAAGACAGATGTTCCGTGCTCAGAGGAAAAAGATAAATGGCTCCAGTGGTGAATATTGTAAGTGCGGTTTAATATAATAGAAGTATGTGAATAGTTCTGTCTGAAATTAATGAAATTAGTTGTTTAAAATGGTTATTGAGTAAGATAACTAGTAGTGGGTAATGTTTGGTTTAGAGAAAGGTTTTATCTGTCCCTGTGCAAATGGGTTTGACTGACTTTTAAGCACTGTGTAGTGTGGGGACTATAAATCTGATATTCGTGATGACGGTGCTGCTACTGAAGCTCCTTAAAAATTTTATTAGCACCCAGAATATAAGTGAGAAGTTCGGTATCCATTTTTTTTTTGCCTGTTTTGTGTGTCATATCTCACAGTTGCAAGGTGACAGTGCGTACGGTCTGAGAAAGCCTGAGAAGACTGGACCTGTTTGAATCCATAGCAAAAGCACTTTCTGGCCTCCTTATTTTCACGGACCTCTTAGTCCTTGGAGGATGCAGCCTCTGAAATCCAACGCACCCATTGAAAAGTGGTAGAGCAGCGGCACTAGTGGACTGACATTGGACATGCTTGCTTTAGAGAAAAAGGTATAACAATTATTTGTTTTAATCTAACTATTGCATTCCAAATTATGAGTTGTCTTGTAATTCTTACGTTTCTGTAAAGTTAGACATAAGTCAATTTCAGCCTTTTTGGGGGATTGACAACCTCAGCGAGACAAACCTCTATCATTGTTCTGGTCATGCAACAAAGGGCTGGAGTTTGTGGGTCAAACATTTGATCAATGTTTGACCCACAAACTAGGTTAATTTTAAACCAACAGTCATTCTGGTGTAGATATTCTGTTAATAAATCTAATTGCCACCAGCCATTGAAGAGTTTTCAACATAAAAGGTGGATAATTATTGCAATTTCTTAGAAATTTTTAATATAAGGAATCTAAATCCACCTCACCTGTAGGCTCTGAGAGTCCAACAGAAGCACAGTAGTGTCCAGGGGGACATGGGAGGCACCCTGCTGAGCTGCCTGTATGCTCTCTAGGGTTAAAGGTGCCAATAGGGCAGGGGTGTTTGTTGGCTGGGCCTGTACCTTCTGGACAGTAATGTCCTTTACGACAGGGTCTGGGCAAGGAAGTGTTTACAGGACCCACTCTCAAATCACAGTAGTAACCTTAAAAGAGAGAACAGCTTGTTTTTTGGGTTAGGACAGCCAAAATGTGCAAGTAAAGGTCAAAAATGATGGAAAGGTTTGCACCTGCATATGTCTTATATGTATCTATATTGCAGATGACCAAATTAAACACTACTTTAATAAATCAGCTCTGTGAACAGGTTTGCTTGTAAAAGAGTTTCTGCCCTTACCAGCCTCACATATTATGCAAGACCCCTGTTTTTCCCTATCTTGGTATGTTCCTGATGGACAGGGCTCTGGAGCTGAACTGCCCTCTAAGCAGTAGTGACCAGTAGGACACGAAAGAGCTGTTGCCACACTTTGACCAGGAGGACACCAATATCCTATGGAGGTATATCAAGGAAATTCAAAAGATAAGAGGCACTATAAAAAAAATTGGAAAACATTTTTTTATAACCAACTAATAAGTGAAACAGGTTGTGGATTGACCTTGTCTGCAAGGTCCAGTAGGAGTCCTGAGACCTGCTTCTTCGCAGTAGAAACCTGCCGTACACGGCTGACAGCTAGCCTCATTAGTTAGACCAGATAGTGGAGAGAAGCTTCCAGGTGGACACAACTCTGGCTCTCCTGAACTCTCCACTAGACAAGGAAAGAAGCCAAGAAAAAACATCATTAATTTTTCTATACATTAATCTTTTTACTACAACAATTTCCACTTTTTACAGCCGTCTGTAGAACAAATCACCTCTCGGGCATAATAAAGTTTTATTGAACTTGAACTTAAACTGCCATAGGTATTGAAGAGGGGTGGATGATTTATATCTTAATGTACTTGGCAGAATGAATGGGCTGAAATTCACATGGTTAAGCAAATTATCAGCATGTTAATAAAAATAGAAACACAATCAGTCACATTAGTTTTATCTGTCTAAATCCATGTTTTGTTTCAGACCAAAGGGCACATCTATTTCCTTTCCAACTTCCCTTTCAACCATGGAGAAAACAAATTTAATAGACCCCCACCATATCTCAGATGTAGCCTATTCCTGTGCTCTGTTTGGTTACCAAGCACATGATCTTTGCCCTTTTTAGTAACATAATACTCATGTTAGATGAATGATGACAGCATAGGAAGAATTTTTATATTTTCAAGTTTGGGTGGAAAAATGCATGTTTATTTTCCTGACAGAAACTGCAGAGCTTCAGTTTTTTTTTTGTAAGGACAAAAAAGATAGAAGCACCACATGGAATTAAAGCCGGGCTCACCACAGTAGGTCCCAGGAGGACAGATGTAGCCTGTTACCCCATCAGTTGGTCTGGCCTCAGTAGCTCCTCCAACACAATAATACCCAGGAGAGCAAGGTCCCACTGGCAAAGCTAAACCTTTTGGATAGGATAAAAAAAGAGTACATTGGCATCAGTTGGTACCATAAAAACAAAAAAAGATTTTAAAATAATCTCATATTTTCTAAATACTAAAAAGTATAATAAAATTAATTCATATCTAAAATGATAGATTTACTGAGGGCTGCGCAGTGGGTATCATGGCTGTCTTGCAGCAAAAAGGTTTGATTCCCGGCACGGGGTCTTTCTGAATGCGGTTTGCAGCCTATTAGAGATTCCTAATTTCTGTCTGTCTGAGTCATTCATTAATGTGAGAGAGCAGCTGAAAATGTCAGTTTTACAACATTGAAAGTTTTTAAATAAAATTGTTCGTCTTGTTAGGATTCACTAAGCTACCAATACTAAAATATTTTTCCACCCAGATGATCAAAAAGTAATATCAACCAATGTTAGCGTTAGCGTTAGCCTAACACATAGCATAGGCTACTGCTTTTGCTTCCCCCCCCCCCACAAACTGTAGCTATATTTGCCAAGAAACAACTGATAAAGCTTTGGATAAGTTGGGGGATGTTTTGTCATTACATCATAATTTCTACGAACTACTGAAGCTCATTAGTTTTCAAACTTTTTATATCTTGTACAGGTCAGTTTAACTAATATTTCCAAGTACAACCATAGTAACAGAAGGTTAAGAGTGACTTAAGTTAGAAGTGAAAAAGATTTTTAGTAGTTTAATTTCAAATAATAAAAACGACCAGAAAGCTCTAAAGGAGCTAATTTACGGTAACTGTGCATTCCAGAGAGGTACAAACATTCAAGCTCCAGATTTAGACAGGAAATATCCTTTAGTAGTAAAATAACAATTTCTCAGTAATTCCACTATTTAAATCGAATTAGGACAATTAATTTAAGAAAACTTTTTCTTTCACACATATTGTGTATTATATCCAAGTGAACATGTTCATTTAATACTTAAATGCATAAAACACAAAGAAATACACAGCTGTTATTTAGTAATGTAGTAGCTAGGATGGCCACAGGAATATAGAGTATGTCCTAGATTATTTTTTTCTCTTTATTTTGTGACTAGATATTTATTAAATTGGGGTAAGCAGCATTATCAGATGCCCATTCTGATTTCGGAGGTATTAACGTAACCTAGCAATTGTTTCATAGCTATTTACTTAAATATCACAGCCATTGTTACTATTTTCAATGAGAGGGGAAAAAAACTGAAATCAGTGCCTTTAAACAACAACCATATTTGCTATATTTGCACCTTAAGTACCACTATGATAGTACCAGCTCCGTCATAGTGTATCATGCAATATAAAATCTCTTAATACCGTCTTACAACTCTTAGTTACATGGCAGAAACTAAAATGTTGAACAAACTCTGTGACTGTTGAGAAAATAGAAACCCCAGCATATCTAGATACTGAGCCATTGCACAAAAGGAGCACAATAATGTAGATAATATAATATTGCTCAAATATTTAGTTTCTTAGCGCTGTCTTATGACGATAACAACCATCAAGTTGAAACCATTGAAATTCTAAATTACTCAGATTGTGATACTGTATATATGGTTTTACTGTTAACCAATAAGGGGAGGGACAAGTGGTTCATCATCTACTGATCAGAAGTCAAACAAAGATACATAACAAAAGCAAACGTTTGTTACTGCTGTAACCTTCTGGGGTATCATCTAATTTTAAGTTGAATAAGAGGATTAGAGAAAGTTTTTCACAATTTATTAAAATTTAAAATCCCTTCTGGAAGTCATGCTATTCCAGAGTGAGAGAGAGCATCAAACTTTTAATTAGTGCTTTGCTCAAGAATTGATGATGTAAAGTATGTTGGTGCATTTATGCATGAGGTTATGGCTTGATGCCACCACCAAGAAGGCATTGCTGAATCTGATTTATCCATGTTTAGGAGCACCAAATGAAGGGATTTATGCAAATTACTTGACATAAAGGTTACAAGAGAAAGGGAGTTCCAGCTCAAATAGCTGAACAACACATTTCTGTACTTAGAAGTTTAAAGTACTGTCTGCAAACAACAAAATATGTCTTAAACACCATAACAAAAAACAAATAATTCTACATTTATGTCTTATATGTAACACTTTCTTGTAAAAATCCTTCAAGAAAACAAGGACACAGTTTAGTTACAGAAATAGAATCCTAAAAGGATTTTTACTTGTGTAACCAGCCATTTCGATGATTAAAGACAAAGCTTAAAAACAGCATGCAAAAGGAAGCTAAGTATGCAGCTTTGCCAGAGCTGTGTGTAAAATTGGCCTGCCTTGAGTCCAATCCTGCTACCAAAGGAAAGCACTTTGGAGAAAACAACAACAAAGGGTGTCTTGCACTGCTGAGCAGACGGAGCACTACAGTACCTCAAGGAACATTTCTCTAAGATTTTCTACTAAAACTAAAGATCAGGGTGCTGTTAAAAAGGAGGCAATTCAACACTGCATCTGATCACTTCCTGATTTACTTTACCATACCAAGGGAATATAGAGGCTGCTAAAACAAGATTATTAAAGTGATACCAGGTAAGTCTTTCACAATAGCATTGCAGCGACTTGCAGAACCATTTATACCATTTTATTTTTAGTATTTTTATTACATAATTACAAAACTGAATGTTTTTACTGAGATTTTGTGTCATTTACCAACACAAAGTCATACATATTTGGAATTCCTTGGATACAAGGAATGCATCAGGTGTGCCACACATTTTGAATCATCCCCTTCCACTTTAATGCCTCTAAAGAAAAAACTGTGAAACAGCTGCCCTCTGAAGTTCCCTAGTTTGAAAAGAGAGAAGCTACTGCATTAAGGGTCAGAGCTGAACCCTAAAGAAATACTGCAGAGCACTGCTCGACAGTACAACTACAAACCTATCAGGACATTCCCTTCCAGATAAAGGCACAGACAGCAACATGTGGAAGAAGGTAATCAAGAAAGAAATCATCCTTTGGGGAACCCTTTTGGTGCAAAAAAGGCAGCTGGTGGAAGATGATGGGAAGATAAACTAAAAATAATAATGTAAACCTCCATATGGCTGTACAAGACTGAATCATACAGTTGTGGTTCACCTCGTCTGCAGGGCCTAAACATATACAGCCAGTGCTAAAACTAAACTTTGAAAACCATCTGTGCTTTGAGAGCCATACTTCCATTAAAATGCACATAAGTTCCAGGCTGCAAATGATAAGATGGGGAAAAAACTTTCAGGAAGGAAAACTTTTTGCAAGGCACTTTTTAAAAAAGTAGTCAATACACCATGACAGCTATTTAGCACAAGCTGTTATGGTGATAAGAAAATCTTAATACCTGATTTATTACAAAAGGTTCCCGATGGACAAGGTATAGGCTCAGAGCTTCCCAGAGGACAATAAAAGCCCTCTTGACAGCGCCCACCTGTGGAGGTAGCTGGGCACAGACAGTTGGCGTTTGTGTAATTATCAAGGTCAAAGGGCTGAGAGTTCCATGCTGCTGACACACAGAACCAACCTGAGAGGAACAAAAAAACACAAATGACAAATCAGACATCAGGTGAAACATTTCTCAGCACGAGTTAAAACCAGAAATTCAACAGTGCTGCTATTATTGCAGGGCAAAAATAGCAACACAGTGCAAGGTGAAAGGGATGAGTCACAGTCGAGGAAAGAAATTACTTAATAAACCAGACAGGCGTAGTTTGATTTCCAAAATGAGGGATGTGGGTAACATATGACTGAGGAAAGGACCATTTGCCTCTGCATCTTTGTGCATTAATAAATGATATGCAAAGAATTATTCAAGAACTTTTGTTGCTGCTGAAATTCTTTCCTCTGCTGTGATGTTTCACGCTTCATGCACAGCTATTGTTCTCTTCTTTAGTCGTACAAGCTTCTGCAGACTGGTTTGCCTTCCCCAGAAGCCAAAACAGGCTGGCATGGAGGACAAAGCCCTGATACTCAGAAACTAGACTATCTGCTTGGAAGAAATTAACAAAGACACCATTACTCACCAGCCTTGCATTTTCCAGACACTTTGGTAAGCCGTTCCTTCTCACAGTAGTGTCCTGGTGGACAAGGTAGGCAGCTGTCCAGACTCTGAGTCATAGGCTCTGGGTTGTAGTATCCACGAGGACAAGGAAACTGGGTGGCATACTTAGTTCCTTTACACATAATGTATTGCATATTTCAAATAAAAGAAAAAGAAAAAAAAAACATTTGTATATTCAAAATCCAACAAAGCTGAGAGAACAGGTTTACTGAAGTGGACGTTATAAATCAGCTAAAAATAGTTCAGCCTTCTACTCCTGCAGTTTTTCAAGATGACTGAGAGCATTTTAGATGACAGTACCATCAGGACAGTAGAACCCAGGGGGACAGGGGAAGTTGGTGAAGTTGTCAGTCTTCTCCGGACAGTAATATCCTGCTGGGCATCGGAAACATGCTGGCTGACCTGTGAGGTTGTTGTAGGTTCCAGCTGGGCAGGCCACTGGGCTGAAGCTTCCAGAGGGGCAATAATGACTAGTTGGGCAAAGTCCTCCTTCAGACCCTGAAGAAGGAGATTTAATTGAATGTGATAGAAGGATGAGGAAAACAATCACTGCTTTAAGCCTTTAATGTGGTGAATCTAGTTATAATGACAATGCAGTAATCACCTGTTCTGGTGAGCAGCCTCATACATTTTAGCTTCCTGTATTTACCAACCCTTGTTTCACCCCTAAATGAAGCTCATTCAAGAGATCATGTATTTAATTTCATGCCAAAAGTACTATTATTGTTTTTTATTGTGTGTGTGTCCTTTCAGTTGCAACAGGGATTATCAAAGCCAGTCATTTAGCTTCCTGAAAGACTTGGCAAAGGTTTTACTCCCTAATTCTCCTCTTGGTCCAACCAGAATTTGAAGTTCAGAGCTGATAAAACTGCCTTTTTCAAACATAAATATATCTCCCACCTAAGATAAACACATCAATATTCCTACTTCTGACCTGTGCTAGTTGTGTCTCCACCTGGACAATAGGACCCTGCCTGACACAGACCAGATGGAGTAGTTAGTCCTGCAGTGCCACAGTATTGACCTCCTGGACACAGACTGCAGCCAGAGGCTTCTCTCAAGTAAAGCCTGCAAGCAGAGGAAATGCCAACAGCATTAGTGTAAATCATCTGAAAAATAATGAGTTTAAAACTTCAGACCAATAAAACCTGTCAGAGTAAGTCCCGGGTGGACAGGACAGAGGGACACTGGTGCCTTCAGGACAGTAGCTGCCTTGCGGACATGCTCCTCCGATACCGGTGCTGAAGTTGCCGTCTGGGTTCTCTGAGTCTAGACCTTGTAAATATGAGCATTTTAGAGAAGTTTACTCAGTAGAAATACTTATGCATCATATTGTGTTTAGAGCAGCAAGTGTTGTGTTTTTTTAGCAATAAGACTGAGCATGTGATTATAAATGTGTGAAAGTAACACAGAATATTTTTCCACATTTGTTAGTTTTGATTGGTAACTTTAGTATATGAAATATGTTTTCATGAGAGAAGTTAAAACAAAGTAGCACATTTGTGTTGTGTAAGATTTTTTTTTTTGTCCATTTGTACTCAATCTCTCTGATAAAATTTGAGAACAAACATTTACCATCAAAAGTAACCCAATTACCAACTAAGATAGGCTAAGCTATTTTCACTTCTACAAACTTAACAAGATAAACAACTAAATAAACAACTAGATGTCAAGAGGCTCAATTTGGAGGAGATGCATAGATTTGCAACTTGGGTGAGAAAATCTTTATTTATTTATTTTATTTTGGTTATTTACTCCATACATTTGGTCTTTGAAAAAACAACATTAAGAAAGTCCTGTCTGCCAAAAGCTGTGTAGGAAACATATTAAACATGTGGCAGAAGTTGCTCTACTCAGATGATTCCAGAATTAAACTTTTTGGCCCTACAGTGCATTAGAAACGACTAGAAAAGCAACTGTGAAAATCATCATGTACACACCATCCCTACAGTGATGGCAGCATCATTTTGTGGAGGCTTTTCCGGCAATGATGGGAAAGAGTTTTTAAACTGATGCCTTAAACAGTTTGCAGATATCAAAAAGATGTGAGACCTTGGTAGAGGTTTACCTCATTCAAGTCAACAATTTTCATCATAGAGATAGAATTACAGAGCCATTAATAAGATTAAAGAATGCCCTTGTTCCAGAATTGCTCATTCACTTTCCAGATATAAATCCAAACGAAAACCTGTGACAAGACTTGAAATATTCTATTCACATTCATCCAGTATGAATGAGCGCCAGCTATTTTGATGCTTAAAAAGATGCGGGTCAAACCTTTCAGATTTTAAAACACTTGAATCATCTTCCTTTCATTTTATGCAAAAGTATATAGTACAGTGAAATTTTTCAGTGTACTATACACTAATTTTTTGAGGTACCGTATGTTTTTTTACCTGCTAAGCAGTAGTATCCAGGCTGACAGAGTCCAGTAGGTTCAAACAGCCCCCAATCATCACAGTAGGAACCTACAGAAAATATTGCTAAATGCATGAAAAGTCCTCTTAACAAACTCTCATTACAATATAACACTTTTGTAACGCTTGAATTACAATAAAACTTTAAATTATTGCTCTTTATCTTTATAAGTTCAAGCTTTAATTAAGTTCCATTTTAGCAGCAAATTTTATGTGCTTAATAATGAAATGCTGAAAGGGAAAGCTAAAAACTATGGGACAACACTCCCACCTGCTGGACAAATGAGGCACTGTTCCACTTGACGAAGACCAAGCTGAGGGCTGTAGGTACCAGGAGGGCAGGGCAAGATGCCTTCCACTCCCCCACCAAGACAATAGTGACCTGCTGGACAGAGCTGGACATCCTCTCCAGACAGACAGTATGTCCCAGATGGACATTCTACGCACACCTCTGCTGCTATATTCACAAAAACAAATAAAGTGGTCAAACAAAGCTGAGTTTTAATACAATACTTCTTTTTAAAAAGAATATATAACCGCTGTATTTTAAATTTTTTTTATTGATGAATATGTAATTTACCTGAACTGTTTGAGTATGTCCCATCAGGGCATGGGATTGGAAAAGCTGAAGCTAAGGGACAATAGTGTCCAGTCGGACATATGTCCCCTGTCAACCCATCAAAAGGCTTTGAAAACTTTGCTCCTCCTGAGCAGAAATAACCTGAATTGATAGAAAAAAGTCACAAAAATCATGACAAGACTGGTCTCAATATTTCAAGCGAATTAATTTTTTGTTTAAAATTTTTCATAAATAACACTATAATGGTTTGTTCACATTTTGTTAATCATTTTAACAAGTTCAAAAACAGTTCAAAACTGTAGAAAACATTATTGATTTTATCCCTTTCTTTATCGAAACCAGGGGTAAGAACCTATGAACATGTGTTGCTATTGTGAGGTAAAATTATTGTTGCTGAATACATACTTCTAAACCTGCTCTATTAAAACAGAATAAATAAATTCTAAAATAAACAACTGGTTGAACATGAGTTAAATTCTGAAAAGACATCAATTAAAAAGTGCACGCCATCTTGGATGGAAACTGGTATTCATTGATGGAAAGAGGAATACCAGGGTCACATATTCCAGACGGCTGACTGAGCCCAGTGCTGTTGCAGTAGAATGCAGGTGGGCAGGGCCAACAGGAGGACAGGTTCTGGCCTCCGACTGAGATTCTCCAGGTCCCTATAGGACAGGGGTGCTGCTGTGGATACTTGGTTCCCCGTGGACAGAAGTAGCCGGCAGGACACACGTCACCAGTGGCTACAGCTATCTGAAGGAGTAATAAATAAAAATAAAATAGCAATTTCTCAAAAAACTTTCAGAGCACAAAACCGAAGAGGATTGGTTGTTCGTACATCCTCCAAAATCTAAACTAAGGCATCTTTAATATCAAAGCACATCAGAGTTTGATCTCCATTTTTTATTAAAGTATGAGATGTGGACATTTGATGTTGGATCCTGTCATTTATTTCCTTCGCAATATCAGCAGCTTTATCAAATGAAGGCCTGCAGAACAGCATGATCTGTGGATTTGTATGTATGTTAGCAACAGGAAAATAAATGCAGAGATGTGTAAGATGTGGTGAGATTTGGGGCATCTATGCTCAACTTGATAAGGTCCTTAAAGAAGGACGTTTCTGCCTCTTATTTATTCCGTTTCTTCTTATTTTCCCTACCCCCAACCTCCTCCCTCACTTGCTGACAAATCATCTCACTTTGGCAAAACTGAATTACAATTGAAATCGTTAACAAGCACACATGGTATTTTATTCACTTCAAGGAATAAACCAAATAAACTTAGGACATCAACACATTTTAAGAATGTCCTTAATGCAAACTTATAGTGCGTTTCAAGCCATCACATTTTTACAAAGCAAATGTGTGCAAATGAAATGGAATTCTGGAATTAGCATTGTTACAATTAAAATAATATAATTTAATATTATGCACCTAAAATAAGAGACTACCTTTGTTTTTTTTTCTTATTTTAAATGTAAATTGTCTTATTCCATTGGCAAAGAGTCTCACTTATGTACTCATTCAAGGAAAAAAGTCCCTTATTTTCAGGGGGAAAAAATCATTTACATTTTTTGCAGTGCACTGGAAAAAAGTGAAATCTAGATAAGCCATTTTTTCCTTAAAATAAGTGCATTGTTCTTGAACTGAGGAGATAAAAGAGACAAATACGAGAGAATTTACATTTAAAATAAGAAAATCTCATTGTCTTATTTCAAATGCATAAAATCTAATAATCTTATTTTAAGAGTAAAAATACTCATTCCACTGGCAAATAATCTTATTCACCTACTCAAACTAAGGGTAAATACAATTAATTTAAGAATATTTTGCTTATTTCTAGATCGTATTTCCAGTGTGTATACATTGTCATATTACAACTGTAAACCATAATATATGTTTTTGGGTTTTAATGATAGACAAACACAATGTAGTAAATAATTAGGAAGAGGAGGACAAGCACTACATGATTTGTGAGATGTGCAACAAATAAATACTAGGAATAAATTATCCAAAGTTGGCACTACAGTTTTTTTTTTTTTTATTGGCTGACATCTGAAAGTCAAAAGAGTTCTTAAGGTTTTTCATATGATGTGAATTAAAAGCTTGAGTCTAAACAGTTTTAAATATTCTTATCAGGACTTACTGGGGAACTTGTGGTGGCTCCAGAAGTGCAGTAGTGACCTGGGTCACAGAGACCTTGTGGTTTGGAGAGGCCAGCTCTGCTACAGAACAAACCTGCCTCACATGGTCGACAATGCTTCACATCTCCACCACTTAGCTGGTCAGAGTAGGTGCCCTAAAAAAAACAGATCAATCACTTTTCATCTGCATAAGCAGCATTCATAATGAAAAAAATAATAAATATTTTACGCTTGATACCATACATGCATCAAAATTCAAAACCTGCTTTGGTAACACTTTGTATCTTTTGTTATTGCAAATTCGACATAAGTTGACACTACAGCATATAACAGTCTTAGACAGAGTTCTAACAGAGGTAATGGAAGTGTAGGACGCTTGGTGCAGATCTCACATATATTCTCACATTACTGGTTGGTGTGGGAAAGCAGAGAGAATTGATCCACTTCGCAAAACACAACCAAGTCTATGTTTTTGTTTGCACCAGGACCCCGTGACCAAAATTACCTCATTAACCTGAGCTGTGCAAAAGTCAGGTCCTGCTCTATAGTTGTTATGTAAAATCAAACACGTATGTATTAATTTAAATGCTCACAGATTATTGCACATTAATATTAAATGAAATATATAGTTGGGGGGAAAAAGAGGCTGATGCGTAAACATTACATAGGGCTAAAATTTTGATGGTTAATATATTTTAGAAAAGTATCATAATCAAGAGAAATTTCTTAAACCAGCCTAAATCCTAAAGTCTGTTAATTTCTCACCATTGATTGCTGTGAGGGCACTTATTTTTTTTGTAACAACTGCGCTTAGAAGACAGCAATACGCTTAGCAACAGGGTCAACCACACCTCCTCACTAAGTTAAGCATTTCTGTCTTTGCCAGGAATTTTTAGTCCAAATCAGAGCTCTCTGATGGGACTATGTTAATATTTGTGAATACAGGTTCAGATTTGTGAAGGCTCTAAGCAGGTTAAAGGTCTATTAAGGGTTCCAATTTCCACTTATTCAAACAAAAGCATTTCTTACTGTTAGGTGAGAAGGAAAATGTCTTCACTTCTGTTAAGAAGGATACATTAAAGAAAGGGGGAGACGAAAAAACATGGAGATACTGACTGAAGGGCATGGCCGGGGAGTTGAGGAACCAGGAGGGCAGTAGTGTCCTGCGGGGCAGACTGATGGTTGGGATAGACCTGTTTGATTGCACAGCCTTCCTTCCTGACACGCCACACAAGAACTTGCAGCTCGGCTCTGCAGAAATGTTTTTTGAGACGAGTTAAGCAGTGCCAGAGTTTAAAATGATACAGGTATGTATTACTTTCTACCGGCTGAAAAGTGCCTAGAGGACACGGCTCTGGCTTCACTGCTCCCTCCAAGGAATAAAAACCTTCTTTTACTTCATTCTGTAGTGGTGAAGAAGATCCCCCAGTACAGTAGAAACCAGGAAAACAAGGTCCTGAGGGTGAGGTATTGTTGGAACCTAAACAATAAAACCTGAGATAGAAAGAGTCAGGAAGTGATTCTGATTAAAATCATATATTTTCTACGTATTAGAAATAGGGGTTAGCATGAGGTGAATTACCCAGGTGGACAGCTAATACATTCTTCAGGGCTTCTGAGGCCACTACTGTTGCAGAAAGTGCCAGACGGACAGGGGAGGGGAGAGGTTGAAGCCTGAGGACAGTAACCTCCGGGGGGACATAAACCTCCTGTTGGTCCATCAACTGGAGTCTTAGAAGAGAAAAAAAGGGCTCAGATACATGAGTTGAAAATGTCTCTTTAATTAGTTAAGCTTTGAAATATGTATCCCGATATTTCTAAAAAAAAACGTTCACAGAAATAGTATCAACTCACTGCGGACTTGGCTCCCACTCTGCAGTAGAAACGCTCCTTGCAGCTTCCAGAAGGCTCTGTTAGTCCAAAACTAGTACAATACTGGCCACCACCACATGGGGTGCACTCTAAGACATCACTGAGAGCAAAATGTGAGCTGTAGGTTCCCTCAGGGCAAGGCCTGGGAGTAGAAGAGCCATCTGGACAGTAAAACCCCTGAAACGAGTTATGAATAAAAGGAAACTGGTTTTAGTTTTGTTTGCTTTTTATATAATTAGAAGAAAAAAAATCACTGTAAATTCCAGGAACATAAATGTTCTGTTTGTCCCACCTGAGGACAAGGTATAGGCAAATCAGTGCCTATTTTGTTGCAGAAATGTCCAGATGGACACAAAAAGCAGGCCTCTCCAGTGTGACCAAATGTGTTGTTCCTGAACCTGCCGACCTGACAGGGGTAGGTGTGAGGATGACCGGTCCCTGGCGGACAATAGTGGCCATCGGGACATGGCTCTGTCTTAAATTTAAGAATATACATTAACCGTTAATTTTTTTTTTTCAAAGGTATTGTATGTGTAGAACGCTGGTAAAGATGTGCAAAAAGACATAGATTCCAAGATGATTCAAAGTTTTCTATCTAAGGAAAACCAGTGGATTGCATCAACTAATTGACTCAAAGGTAATCCCTCACACTAAGCATACTTGTAGCGACAGTGGAGAGGAAAAAAAAAACCTTTTAACAAAACAAAACCTTCAGCAGAACCAGACTCAGTGTGAGCGGCTGACTGGGGTTAAAAGAGACAGAAGCAGACATACAGAAAGAAGCAGAGATACAAAAGGCAACTGTCAACCAGCTCCACAGACAGCCCTGTCCAGGAAACACACATCCCAGCAGTTGAGCTCCAAGCAAGCCGCCACGTCAGAGGATGAAAGAGAGCACATCTAGCCAGTCAGCAGGACCACTCTGAAAAGCAGGCTGAGCTCGAACATCTATAAACAGTGGTGTTGATGGCAGCAGCACAGCTGATATTTCTCTCCAAGATGGTGTCACAGCCAAACAAGAACAGACCAGATGAAGCTACTATGAGAAAAAACAGAGAGAGCACAGTGTTAGACAATGAACTTAGTAAGAATAGAGTTAGAATGAGGCAGAATATTGAAAAAGGGGTCCTCCAGCAGTCTAGGTCTATAGCAGCATATCTATAGAGATAGCACAGGATAACCTGAGCCACTCTAACTATAAGCTTTATGAAAATATATTGTGTGTTACTAAGTATCTATAGGAAAAGAAAAACAAAACCCAAAAAATATTTTAGCATTTCTAGTTGCATGTTTGATTTGTGTTTGGCCTTTAATTGTTTTTAACCTATTCCTATTTGCAGTAGCGGTTCCAGGAATTTCTTTTTTTAGGTGTAGCCAAGCAGGCACCATTGTTCACTGAGGGCATACCCTAAACCAATAGCTGCTGAAAGCAGTTCAGGATTAAACTATGCTGATCAAAACAAACCAACAGGAAAATTAATGCGCACAAAATCTATATTTTTTCCAACAAAATCCATTAAGACAAACCAATTTTTTATGAGACCATTGCTGATAAAACTACTCACATATTTATAACTTGGTGCAGTTTAACAAAATGTTTGATTCTACATAATATGCACATTAAATGGATTAAGCAGTTGTTTATCTTTAAATACAAAGAAGACTCATAGATTACTGAAGAAACAAACATTACCCTATAAAACATAAAAAGTATTTCTAAAAAGAGCATGACTTCTGTATTATTCCTCTTTATTTGTATCATATTGTTTTCATTAATTTGTTTCTAATTTGTCAAGTGCGATATCAGGCTTCTGCAGTCAAAGAATACATTAATAAAAGGTGTTTGTTTTACACATCTTTACCAAACAGACTTATATATTTAATCATTATTACTGTTTTTTTTTTCTTACAGGCTTGGTGATGGGCTGCTCCTGAGGCACCTGGGTGTAACAATACTTCCCCTCGGGACACTGAACACACTGGGATACATCACGCAGACCAGGAGACGCACTGTATGTCCCATTAGGGCACGGGATGGGGTTAGGGTCCTGTGCAATCAAATTTGCAGGTTTCTTTATAAAAGTTTATGTATACTTTTATTAATACTAACAACAGTTTCATCATTTACCCATAATACCCACATATTACTCACAATGCCTCCACCAGGGCAGTAGAAACCTCGAGGACAAAGCGTGGCTGATCTCTGAGGGTCTCTGGCCAAACCCTGTGAGCAAAGGAAACCAGGTGGGCAAACCATGACACTCAGCATGGCCTCCTCGCTTGTGGTCTCATTACTGCAGTAGTGACCCTGTAGGCATGGAGAGCACTCCACAGAGCCTTCATCCTACACATAAGACAATGAGAAAAAACTTTCAGTGAGTCAAAGTGAAAGAGATTAAAATGCCCACCGATAACTTAAGAAAAAGAAAGAATTGGAAAATTCTGTAGCATAAAGATTGCCTCAAATTAAGAGATAAAATTATGACATATTATAACATAACACTTTACTATTCCTCCTGCTGGCATTTACAGATGTACACAGTAGATGAGCAATAAGACAAATGCATGTGGGTGGTAAATGTAATCTAAAAATAGGACAATCAAAACCATTTCAGGAGTGACGGGAATCTACTAGTGATGCTTTCAACCAGTGATTTTAGTGGCAGAGTCAAACAGGATTGTGTTTAATGGGGTCTTACAGAGTAGCTGCCAGCTCCACAGACTCTGGGGTAGATAGTGGCTGAGTGGGGACAAAAATAGCCAGCAGGGCAAGGAGGGCAGTCTTCCAGCCTTCGACCTCCTTTCAGGCGGCGGAATGAAGAGCTGAGAGGAAATGTGGAAATAATTTACTGAATTAAAAGTGATAGATGATTTAATCTTTTCCTTAGAATAACATCTTCTATCTGATATTCAGCTTACGTACGGAGGGCAAGGGGACGGTTTGGAGGTTCCCATTTGACAGAAGGAGCCTTCGGGACAAATCAAGCAGTCCTCTATGTATCTGTTGCCCATTTGAATACTGTAGGTGCCTGGGGGACAAGGATACTGGAAGCCATATGCTGTCCCTGAGAAGGCAACATCACCATAATTTAGATACATGACTGATGACTAGAGCACAAATGGAAGATTTTAAAAAGTATAGAATAAGAGATTTAAACATTAAATACTGTTGAATTGTCCTTTATCTTGAGTAAAGAGCTTGAATTATTGCCAATGCTTTCTACTTGTTATGGTTTACCTTCAGGACAGTAGTGTCCAGAGTTACATCGGCCTGATGGAGCTGCAGACCCTGCCAAGCAGTACCAACCTCGAGGGCAGGGCTGGCACTCTGTTTCAGCCTCCAGTCCACTCTGACTGCTCCATGTCCCTACAGGACACTTGTACTGCGTAGGAAACATTGTCCCAGGGGGACAATAGTGGCCAGCAAAACAAAGAAGAGGTGGTCTTTGGATGCCGCCTGTTCCTAATAATATGGCAGAATTGTAAAAAGTCAATATAAATATTCCTGCAGATGCATGACATACAATGATAATTAAATCCTTTTGAAAAATATATATATAAATATTTGTGTTTTATGGAGTTTTTTAAATTTTCAGGTTTAAAACCACAATAAATTATGCATAACAGTGAAAAAAGATGTATAATAATCCTGAAATCAATTTTTTTATATATGTGTACTTCTTCTGTTATAAATCTATTAAAATTGCTAAACAGATAAAAAAATGTGAACCTCTTAGACAGGCGCATCGAGCCGGACACAGCTGACATTGTGATTGGTCTGTCAAATTGATGCGATTGCTAAATGTTCCCGGTGGGCAGGCATTGGCAGGTGCATTAGGCTTCGATGAACCAGGAGGGCACACAAACCTATGAAGAGAGATAAATTCCTTAGAACTGATCATACTATTCATATCTACAGGACCAAACCTTTGAGTATACAGAAAAATTCTTGATGGAAAAAGATTTTCACGCCTCTGAACAGGCTCTTTACCCAGGTATGCAGTCTACATCAGGAGCCCGTAAGGCTATCTGTGTGCAGGCTTTTCCAGCGTAGCATTCCCTGCAATCAGCCACCTCATCCTGCCCCTCTAAGGGGTTGAAGGACCCTGGCGGACAGGGCACCTGGTCACTTGTCCCTTCCGGACAGTAGAAACCAGCTGGACACTTAAGACAATCCTTCACACCTGCAGAGAAAGTTAGAATGCTGAAATCAATACAGGTCTGTGGCTTCCATACTGAAATATCTATTACATAAACCTCCTTCATTGGTTGTCAGTTTTTTCTCATCCCTCATTTTGTCAGTAACTGACTCACTGCACAGCTTTTTTTCTTTTTAGTTAGTTTGTTTCTGTTTGCCCTCTTTAGCATTTATCGACTGCATTTTCTCCTCTGGATATTGTTAATTCTCATGGGATTCAGAAATTATTAATTCAGAAATTTATGTAATCAGGCTTTTTGCCTCATAGATTTGAATCGTGTAAAATTATCTTGGTGAGTGTTTGTAAAATGGTAGGACATGAAAGTTAAGATTTAAATATAAAAATATGCAAATTCTTGCATAAATGCTTCAGATGTTTAAAAAAGCAAAAAACTATTTAAATTGTTTTTCATTTAAAAGCAAAACCTGGTTACTGTTTTATTACTACTTTATGTAGTTTATGAATATCTTAATAATTAAGGTATTTTTCTGATTTGATTTTGTTCAAGAATGGATCCCCTTAAGAGAAACTGTAATTATTATTAATAAAAACTGTCTTTGGGTCAAGTCTATGCATACACCCCCACAAGATACACTTTGATAATTCACATCTCCAGTAATATTTTAGTACAGCTGATTTAAATTTGTTGATTTTCTGCTACAGACCTGAATTCTAAATTAGTCAATAAATTATCCAAGAAGAGACCAGTATCATTCTAGAAGTTTAATTTCACCTTTTTTTCCTAAATAATTTTATAAAAGGTCATTTAATACCTAATTATGTCCAGTTATCAACCAGATGGCCCAAACAGTCACCTGATGTTAAAAAGAAATCAGCTGGGAAGTTCACCTGTGTCTTAATACCAGTAAGACTAAAGCGATGGTGATCGACTTCAGGAGAAGACCCCCACCTCACTTCCCCGTGAACATCCAGGGGCAGGACATATAAACAGTGGAGAGTTTCAAATACCTGGGTGTTCATGTCAATAACAAACTGATCTAGACTCATAACACCTACGCCTGATACCCTGATAAATATCCATCTATATAAATACCCATATAAACACCCTGTGCAATTGCCCTCTATAAGGATCCCACTGTAAAAAAAAATTATAAATAAACTGTCATATGTGGATGCACTATATATACTGTATATATACCATGCACCTCTTTCTTCCTTTGGCACATTCTTCTTCATTGACTGTTTGAGCTGATGTAACAAGCAAATTTCTATACTGTTTCATCAATAAACTCAATTAATCACTCAATCAATGCCTATCATAAACAAGAAAGTGATAAACCTTAAAATAAGCTTGCTTTAAAGTCCAATTCTTAAATCCCTAAGCCATAATATAAAATCAATCGATTTAAATTAATTCCTGTAAATTTCAAATCATGATGATGGCTGCAAAAAGCAGCAACACTATTTTCTTGCAGCAATAGGCAAATATCAGTGGACAGTTTCAGAAAAATAAGACTCCTAATTCTGTAGCAGTAATTTTAACCTACCGGGGATTGGGGTAAATAGATAGTAAATTCTAAAATTAACATTCATTTCTTATTAAAAAAAAAACACCTGAAAGTTTCAAATTCATATGTCACTGTAAGTATACTGCTGACTTAAAGGTATAGAGGATGATCTTTTATTTCCGGGTGGTTTATTTAAATAAATGGTCATCCTAACTGTCAATCATTCTGGTGATATGTTTACGTCAGGCCGCCTACGTGCTAGCCCAGTTAGCTAACTTTTTCTGCGCATGCGCACTTTCATATATGTGTGGTGAGTTATGGTTTCAGACAGTCATTAAGGCTCAGCTTTCTCCCTGCGGTTCTTTGAAAATGGCAGAGGGTCGTAAAAGAATAAATATCTAAGAACTGTATGAGAAGAAAAGAAAGGCCTCAGAAGAGGAAGATATATCCCAGAATGGTTTGTGCGGATAGCTCTCCTCGCAAAGCATTCTGGGATTTACCAAGACCAATGGAGCAAAAAGCAGTGATCATCTGTCTAAATGATAAACGTTAACTCAGTTTGCTATAAAGTCCACTATACAGTCTCATAGCTATTATGAGCTATGAGAACAGCACATTTTAAACAGGGCATACACGAGGAGAAATGGGCTCGTGCATGCTCTTGCACGTGCATTTGGTTTTTTTTGGAGAGGGCGAGTCTTTTAAAAGTCCTCCACAATACCTTTAAATTGCACATTAACCCACTTATTGCTCCTTGATGAGGAGTGAAGGTGCCTGATGGACAAGTCACTTCCTCTAATGTACCAGCTGGGCAGAACCTTCCTCTAGCGCAGGGCAAACCCGGACCTGAAGAGCCTGTTCAATGTAAAACAAATAATGAAGGATTTGGGAGGATCTCATTCAACCTTTATGAAGTCATTTACAAATACACTGTGATACAAAAACAGAAACCCTGGTTACATTTGCTTCATTGTTTTCTCTATCTTTGTGGGTTTTTATCATATGACTGTGATTTTGCTATCTGGGACACATCCTATTTGTATTTCAGTATCTGTTGCTCCAGTGAAGTGATTTCCATCAGAACAAAGACTAACCTGCAGGACAGAAGCGTCCCTCTTTGCATCTTTTGCATGCCGCCCTACTTGTCTGACCCAGTTGTTCTCCTGATGTACCAGCAGGACAAGGTGACCCATGAGGGGTGGCGGTGCCCTCTTCACAGTAATAGCCCCGTGGGCACATGAACAGGGAGGTGGGTCTCTGTGAGCTACCTTCCAGACAGTAAAACCCTTGAGGAAAGTATTTATAGATAAGAACATTTTGTAAAGGACATGACCTGTATAGTACTATAATGTAACTGAAGATGGAAAAAATTTATTCCTTCTTGGTTTGAGGAAATGCAAAGGAGTTAGAACATCTCAGACCTGTAGATCTTATAAAAAAAATTTGGACTTGAAATCATTAAGAAAGCTTTTGTTTTTGTACTGTACCAGCAGGGCAGATTAAACAGTCTTTCAGTCTCTGCAGACCTTCTTTAGGACCATAGGTCCCTGCAGGACAGGGTATAGCCACACCTCCCACACAGTAATGACCTAACAAAGAGAAAAACAGGAAGGAATAGATATTTGGTTTTATTAAGGAACAGAAAACTCAGCTATCAATGAAATCATAAGCACCAACCCCTTGAACAGGTAACACATGTTCCATCTTCCTTCTCCGGTTTGTATGTCCCTGGTCTACAGGTGTTGGTTTGACCAGATCTGAGGACAGATTGGGTCCAGCTAGGTGCCAGAGCTCCCCTGCACAGCAAAGATGTATCATTACATCTACGGCAGGAAGTCTGTCCAGGTGTGGAGGACCAACCAGGAGGACAAAGGAGTGGCTGTGACATCCCACTGTCTGGACAGTAACTTCCTACAGCAGCAGGAAGACATTAATAGCATTTCACTGTCAAATATAACAGCCACAGAACAGATAGAAAAATGTTATCGCATCGCAGTACTACCTGCTGGACATTGCTGACACCGAACAGGACAGACAGAGGAGTAAAAACCTGGGAAACACTCAATACATTCAGAGTGATTCATGTTGGGCTCCTTTCCAGGTCCACACTGTGGATACATAGAATAAAACTAAATTATTTTTCTGTGGCAAACTGGAAAAGCATTTTCTATTCTTTTCATGTCTTTATTGGTTGATGGTGACCTTATAAGGGAGCCCAAAGGTGCATACAGAATCAAAAGGGCAGGTCAGACACTGCAGGACCCCTTCAGGTGAATGTTGTCCTGCTGGGCATAAGTATAGTGTTCCATTGGCCAGGTCACATGAAAAGCCTGCAGGACACAGCCGACAATCCACTCTGTCCTCTGAACTGATCAGGCCTGAGAAACAGGGCTGCAGCATGAAGCAACCAGAAATAAGAACACACAAAGGCAATTTATAAACATTTAAATCTGTTATTTAGCATTTATTTGTATTTAGCTTCCTTAGTCCAAACTTTGTACAAATTCCTTCAGCTGCATCTCTTCATGTGTATGTCTCTAACAGCTGTGCATTAATTCAGTCTGACTAACCTTTGTCAAATCTTCTTGAGAAAATAGCTAATTTTCAGTCAGTCATGCCATATCTCTCCCCAATCAGATGCATGTTTAAGGTCATCATTGAGACAACAAAGTAAAGTGCCTCTTCAATCATCATTTTAATAATTTTCCTCTTTGTGTGTCAGTTATAAAGTTGTCTTCTTTATAAAATGCGTCTGGATAACTGTTTGAATGACTAAAGCTAGAGATAAAAATTTCACATTAATATTTATGTTTTTTTTTTTCAAATTTTTTTAATGTTTGATTTATCATCACGCTCATTTTATCTGCTAATCTTTATATTGCACTGTGAGGCCCTTTCTAGCACAGCCAAAGGCTTTTGTATAGCGTCTAACAAGTTTTCTTCATCCAGTCTTCTCTATTTCGCTTCATTTAATCTTCCATTACCCTTTTCCCTCTTCCTACTAAAAAATAAATACATTTATAGAATTATTACATCACCATGTTCCCTTGTATGTATTGAGAGTGTACATGTCTATTATTTTGGACAATTGCAACACTTATAGAGCTGATTGAGAAGATAAATGCAAAGTGATCTATTTCCAGGATTTTCTTTGATCCTCAGGAGAAGAAGCATGGGCAAAAACAAACAACCAGTGTGACATATACTCTAGCAACTGAGAAATCATAGCAGTAACTAGGGAAACCAACAATAAACAAATGGCCTAATTAATGTAAAACTGTCACATTGGCTGTGTTGAAGTGTTAAAAAAACAAAAAAAAAGACAACGCTTGTGTGCGATGTAAATGTAAATAAAAGATGTTTAATGACTTGTCACTTTGTCCTCTATGACAATTATTCAGAACAAATAAATCAAGAACTTAAATAAAGGAACTACTGTATTTTTGGCATGAAGAAGAGCTAAAGCCTCAGGTTCTGAAAGACACTGCCTTATAAGTATATATTGAAAAACAAGGTTTTTGATTTCTTTCTGAAACAATTAATAACAGTGATAACCAGTCCTGTCTGCACCAATCAGACAACTATATCTAATAAGGGCAAAAAAACCACACCATGGAGTATCCGGGCTACCAACAGGCACATCTACATCTTTTATGAGCATGTCGGATTCCACCACCACCTACTAAGCAGTGAGAGCTTTCATTATTGTGCTCTCAATATGGTAGCCTTCACCAAAACTGATACACAATTTAGACCCAAACATCCTTTTAGTTTTTTTTTCTTGTTGTATATAGTAAGCTATTTAGTAATACATTGTGATCAAATAATGTGGTGACATCAAAAATGACTAATGCACCAAATATGGTTAAATTCACGTTGCAAAGTGTGTCTTAAAAGACTGCAAAAGACGGTCCTCACTGGCTTTTATGTTGCCTTTTAAAAAACTCAACAATAACTGTATTTGATTAAAAATGCTCACTTAATTCAGTTAATAGTAAGCCTCTTACTTTTTCATAAAAGTTTTTGAAAATACTATCTATAAGAGGATCACATTCACAAGTTGTCTAACTTGGTAAATCAATAATAACTCTTATTACTGAACATATCAATTATAAATAATGAGTTAATTAAATTATCCTTCATTCTGGTATATCAATATTTATCCTTTTTCTCTCTGTTACACAAGACCTTCAACCTACTAGTTACTATTTGTTTATTAGTTTATTCAGGGGTTTTATAACACCATAGAAATATATACTATAAAATTGTCATTGTGTATCTGAATGCTCTAAATCCCCCTTATATCGTCTGTAGCTAATTTATTGGTAACCTTGCAAAAACATTGTTTTGTTCATAAATTACCACAGCCACATTTTTTTTTTATATATGTTTACGTTAAAACTCTCATATATTTTTTTTTTTACATAATCATGTCACTAACAAGTTAACCATATTTCTGTTAATAAAATACCTTCAGGAACAAATGTTAAATAGTTAAAACATTCATACTGAAATTAAAATGTGAAAAAACAACCAAAACTATCTTTATAAATTGATCCATAAGTAGTACACACTATTAGGACTCATGGTCTTTATGATCTTAGTTGTCCACCAATGCTCTCTCAAGAAAGAATCAGGAACCAACTATGGATTTTGACTCTTTACCTTCAGACACTTTTGGTTTTCTTTTCATTTGAATTAACTAGATTAATTTGATTGTGTATAAAGCATCTTTCCAAAAAACAATGAGCTAGTCTTCTAACTAATGAACAGTTTGTTTTTTTTTTTCTGACATCTGAACCAGGTTGCCACATTTCAGTTCTTTTTAATTAAAATAATCTACATTTATTTTAAAACCACACCATATCTTAACCTTTTTGATAGCGTTTACAAAAGAGACAAGTTGCAGTTTGGTGGTTGCATTAGATTTTACTCACGGTGTATCAAAGAAAAGATTGGTGATTATAAGCATAATACACACTGTACTTTGCAGACTTAAAAAACCTGTATTATAGTTTTCCTTCTACTCTACTGTTATGCATTACTTCGCTTTGGTGATTCATATGACATAAAGCCATTAAAATTAGAATACATTAGACAATTAGCAATAAAACATTAGAATTTGTTATTGTAGAAGGATAAAATAAATGAAAAGTTGAAGTAGTGTTAACACTTTCAAAAGCACTGTATCTTTAACTCCAATTATTTAGAGATAAAATACTTATTTTCGCTGTCTACATTTATTGGTATGACACGTTTGGAAATGCCTCCTTGAATGCCAATGATCCCTTTGGGGTAAGACATGGGGATAGATGTTTTACCTTACAGTCATTCATGCTGCTTTTTCCTGTGTAGAGGTTGAATGTTCCTGCTGGGCATCGATTAGGTGCAGACACATTTCCAGGGCAACTTAGAGGGTGTATAAGTAGGTAAAACAACATCAGTTATTCATGACCATTTTTATGATATAAAAACAACTCTAGTTCCATAGTTGGTTCCATAATATGGTTGACAACTTACAAATGACCTGATGGGCAGTCTAGACAAAGCTGCCGAGTGAAGTACTTCCCCTCTGGACACACATAATCTTCTTCTTTGCTGAAAATAAGATCTGCACTCCCCTCTGGGCCTTCTCACATAGTAATAGAAATAGGTCATTATATTGATAAATGCGCTTTAAGAAATAATAAACACAGCAAAGCTATTTTTATTACCTGAAGCAGCTCCAGGTTGCATAAGCAGCAGAAAAATCCCACAAACTGGTAGAAAATACATTTCCCTCCACAAGTGCATTATATCTTTATCTTTAATCCAGTTACAGTTTTTCTCCCTTTTTAGAGTAGACCTTTTAGGTTTCATCCTACAAAGATAACTGTTAAGAACCAGAAAGAAAGTGACAGGCCTGTTTCCCTGAAAGTGAAATGAGCACGAAATGCGATTCCCAGGTGGTAACTCAAGCTGACAGTGATGCGAAATTAGGTTCTGTAACTGTAGCTGTGACTTTCATTATGCATGAGAAAACGCACAAGCTAGCCTAGTTGTTATTGTTAGTAGCTTACAACAAATTATTTATGTAACTCATGAGCCGTCACTCCCTCTAAATAGGTGATTGAAGACACAAAAAGACATGATAGATGTCAAAAATCAGATATTTGCTTGAAATTGAGAAATACAAATACAGCACATTATGCTTTCTATGGGGAATAACTGCTAACTAAATGATTTAAAGTTAAACACATCCTTTGCAGGAGCAGAAACAAGGCTGCAAGAAAGAGCGGCACCCTAATGACTTCCTGCATCAGCATGCAATGTGGTCTCTTCCCAGCCAGGTGTGAACTGCATGAACATATTTGGTATTTATGTAATGATAAAAGGTTTTTATCTACAGCTAATATTTTAGTACCACGTCATCATGTTCCGTGATGCATTTTCCCTTTCATTTTTTCAAAAGAACATTTTCAACTGAACTTTTCTATGCAGGAAGTCAAATACGATGTATGGAAACTTGTGTAGTGTCTAACACCATCCTGAATCTTTTTGAATACCACTTCCTGCACCCGAACTTAAGAGAAATAACATATATGTGGGTATATGCAGGTGCACACAACAACAGGCAGCAAAAACACAAGGCATTTCATTGTTTAAATACTAGGAGCACAGAGATAAAAAAGGTAGCAGCAATGAGGTTCTCAGTCTATCTAATCCTGCTCTTCCTTTGGATACCACAAGGTAAAAACCTACATGATATAGTTCCATCTTGAAGGCAACATGATAAAATTGGTAACTAAATTGTCTTCTTTTAACAGTGTGTGCGACTTCTGCAAACACAAAAGTCTCCATTGATTACAAAGTGGTAAAACAGGGGGACAATCTCATGCTGAACTGCACCTACAATTGCTCAGCTGGATTTGTGGATGGCTTCTGGAGGACAGAGTCTGAAATCTCTCCTTGCAACAAAACAAAAACTAATAACTTTTGTACTGTTTCAATCTGCCTGGTAAATATTTCCACCCAAGATGTAGAAAAGAACTATAGCTGCTACACAGAAGTTTCAGACGACCCTAACCTGACAAAAGAATATGTGCGCATTGTTTTCCTTCGACTTCAAGGTATGCAATATATAAATATTTCAATATATAAATGTATAATGTTCACAAAAAAAAGTGAAAATCAGTTTTCTTGTTTTATAGCTCAAGACACCTTCTCCAACTGGACAAGTAACCCGAATATTGATCGTAAAAACAGTGAGACAATTTCCTAATGTCTAATTTAAATTAATTAACCGTTGCAACACTAATAATATTGATAAATCCTTCATTTTTTTATGAAATTATCTTAATTATCTCAGCATCGCTTCCTGCTGAACCAGGAACTTCAAATGGAGGTGTGGAAGCACTTAGAGCAAAAAATTAGAACTTTCTACAGACAATCAATTCAAATGTTATCAACAATGTTGGATCTGCTTCATGTTTACAGGAGAATTTAATGGAATGAAGGTTTTGGCAGCAGTGACCGTCACAGTTGCCATGGTTCTTACTGTTTTGGCTGTCTTCTTGTGTGTAAACCGCAACAAGCAGGTCTGGAAAGGCAAAGGTGATTAACATTTAGTATTCTGTTAGAAAGTACCTTGTATAGTCTCAATGAAAAAGATAAAAAAATGCAGTTTTTTTGCAATACACTACAATAACAAGGCTTCTCACTCTAGGGAAGCAGACTGTGTCCAAGTCATGGTGAGTACCAACTAAGCTCGTCTTTAATCATATCTTTGCCTAATCAACATAAAAAATTTATGTTTCACATATTTCATTAAGGAGTTTTATAAATTTTTATTATTATTAACCCTTACAGCTCACCTCAAGCCCCATATAATGCCCTTCTTCCAGTAAAAGGTGAAACAAGCAAATATATGATAAATAATACACAAATAAATATAAGAGCACTGCAGTTAAGCCTTTCTGTACTTTCCATGCAGGGACATTATCAGCACAAAGCGAGAAAATAACCTTACGGATTCCTCCACCTGGTAAGAGGAACACTCAGAACTGTCAGAATCATAGGTGACATATTGTTGATTCCCTTTCATTTGGAAAATGTATTGTTGTGTTTCACCCAGACAATGAGGGGGATACAGAGGTTCCCTACGCGGATATAATGATCACCGTCCGAGGGGTCAGTACACCCGAGCTCACTCAGGCAGGCTACTTAGGAGCAGGGGAGGTAAGAGACAAAACAATATGAACCCAAACCTACAAATACGCTTATCATTCCACCACCACCGTTTTTAGAGTAGAAAGGTGTCACAACAATCTTTTTGGTGGGCTTTTTTATCTATACAATTTTCATGTATTTAAAGAAAAATCTGTTAAAACGTAAATTCTATCCAGTGTGCTGGATGTAAGACTTTAAAGGAGTAATGTTTTCGTTCATGTGATTTTACTGCCAAACATTTTCTTATTTTACAAGTTAAGGTATTTTTGGATGGCAGCACCAGTTTCCCAGAGATTTCTTTGTTCATTTATACTAAATCAACTCTTTTTATTACTAACTGCCAAAATTAATTAACTCTTTTCCTGTTAAATCTTGGTAAACCTCAGAAAAGGGTGCAATTTATCCATGAACTAATCGGCAACGTGACTTAAGAAAAGAGGATCTAAATGTTTAAAACTAGCAAATTTTGCGAAGTGAAAAAGTTAGTTCTGGATAAATACATAATCAAAACACTTTTCAATTCTATTGTGACATACAGTATACCCAGTATAATTCTAATATCCTGGTAGGCAAGGCAAGGCAAGGCACATTTATTTGTATAGCGCAATTCAGTACAAAGACAATGCAAAGTGCTTTACATGATTAAAATATAGAAAAATAAAACAGACTCAAAGCAAGTAGGAAAAAAATAAAAAATGCAGAAACAAAAAAGAATATTAAAAACAGTTGGACTAAAGAAAATTAAAAAGTTGAACTAATGATATTTCAGTTGAACTGTTTAACTAGAACAGTCGAAGGCAATCATAAAACAAATGTGTTTTTAGTCTTGATTTAAAGGAACTCAGGCTTTCCGCACTTTTACAGTTTTCTGGAAGTTTGTTCCAGCTAAGTGGAGCATAGGAACTAAATGCTGCTTCTCCATGTTTAGTTCTGGTTCTAGGTATGCAGAGCAGGCTGGAGCCAGAAGACCTGAGTGATCTGGAGGGTTCATACACTGATAGCAAGTCTGTGATGTATTTAGGTGCTAAGCCATTCAGAGATTTATAGACTAACAGAAGTATTTTAAAGTCTATTCTCTGAGATACAGGGAGCCAGTGTAAGGACTTTAAAACTGAGATGATGTGCTCTACTTTCTTAGTCTTAGTGAGGACACGGGCAGCAGCATTCTGGATCTGCTGCAGCTGTCTGATCCACTCTTTAGGCAGACCTGTGAAAACACCGATTGCAGTAATCAATTTCGACTAAAAATAAACGCATGGATTAGTTTTTCCAGATCATGCTGAGACATTAGTCCTTTAAGTGTGCTCACTTTTGGACAAAATCCTTTTGATGCATTTTCAACATTTATTTTTTTAATTACACACCGTTCTACCCTACCTCTGTCAGATTTAAAACTGCTTTTATTCAACCAAGAACTCTATCCTTGATACGAACGGACACTCAAATGATACAAAACAACCTACAAAACAGGAAGTTTGGCAATTCAATTTTAATTCAAATTCAGAATTAGCTGATTGTCTATCAGACTGAAACTAGATCTCTGGTTTAGCTGCTCGAAAATATTAAAATAACTTCAAGTCAGACGGAAAATGAGGGGGAACTAAATTGATTATTTTAAACCTTACAGTATATCCACCAGCGCCACCAATAATTACGAGCCTAAATGTTTGTATGTTTGGCACAAATAAACAAGCCTATTCTCAATTTCTCTTTATTACCTTCTTCTGAAACTGGAAAACATAAAATATCAATAGTATCTACTGCTGATTTGCTTTTTGGTTTGTTTATTTTTGTTTTTTTACTGAAAGTCTTAACGCTGTGAGAGCTCCAACAGTTAGCCTTGATTGTGCCACAGTCATGGCCATTAAAGCTGATTATTTTCCGATTATTAGTGACACAATATCTACAGAGAGATGAATGCATTTTCTCGTTATCTACAGTATGAACCCTAGAAAAGCAGCAAAAATAACCTCCAAAAAAAGGCTACAACAGGAATGGCCTATCTAACTCTAAAACCACAAGTGTCAAATGTACAAATATTCTTTACTTAAATAACAGTACAAAAATTGACTTTTTAAAAGGAAAGGTAGTGACTGAAATGGTAAATGGCATGTACTTATATAGCGCCTTTATTCAAGTTAGGAGACTTGACCAAAGCGCTTTACACTACATTCATTCACCCATTCACGCACACACTGATAGTGGCAAGCTACATTGTAGCCACAGCTGCCCTGGGGCTCACTGATAGAAGCGGGGCTGCCATACACTGGCGCCACCGGGCCCTCTGACCACCATCAGTAGACAATGCAGGTGAAGTGTCTTGCCCAAGGACACAACGATACTGAAAGTCGGAGTCGGGGCTTGAACCGCCAACCCTTCGATTTCAGGGCAAACTCCTAGATCCAACGCCACTGTCGCCTCCTTAATTTAAGTAAAAGTAAAAAAAAAGTACTGGTTCTAAATAACTTCTAATTATAAATGTAAAATACTTTTATGGCCTGAGATGATAAAAAGTATTTCTTTGCAAAAAAATGTCATATTAAAACAATCATATGCACAAAGAACATGTTAATTTTTCTCCTTTGTTCACTGTGCTGGTAGAAAGAAAATGGAAAATTACTGACTAGGTCTAGTTTTTTTTTTTTTTTTATCTAGATTTCAACTGACTGCATTCACAGCTGAACACTCTTAGAGCTTGCTGCATGAACACTGCAAATACCAATAAAATTGTAATCGTATTTGAAACATAATAAACATGTAAATTTAAAACCTAATAAAGCAGCAATGGATGTGGAATGTCATCTGATCCATCATCTGCAATGTTTCCTAGTCTTCACCCATGATGCTATCAGCGTTTTTCTATAAACAAACTCCAACTGCACAGATTCTCTCGGTGCTCTTGATTTGTTTTCTTACAGCTCTTAGAAGTAAGAATTTACATTTAGGTTTGAGAAAGTAAGGAGTACAGAATGAGGTTGTTTACTGACATAAGACAAAAAAAATCTTGTGGATGGAAGAAAAATTTATATTTAAATAAAGTATTGAAGTATTGAAGTAAACCACTAAAAAGGCTCAAATTTGCTCAGTTTTTTTAAAAATGTTTTGACACATATCTTTGTCAGTTCTATTGGCTCGCACCAGAGCGATCTATAGGTGGAGCGCTGACTTATTTAAGCAGCATGGAGGTCCAACCTCATAAGCACATACCAAGTCAGATGCAAATCAAATAGCCACCCCTTATTATTCTGGGTTGATCTATTCTGCTCTGTGCCCTTTGATTGTCAACTTAAAGCATTTGCTATTTTGCTGTCTTCATCTGAGACCGAAACAGGGGTGGTTTGGTTAATCCGCAAGCTCTCTGGGTAAAAACCATCTGAAACCATTGTTTCTTTCAATGTAACCTCTCCCTTCACCTGCATTCCCACATCATTAGTGGTTTTACCAAAGTGGGTCTCAGTGTTTACCAAAAGAGGGATGTGGAAAAGAGATTCCCTCTCAATTGGATGTATCTGAATATTTTTGTTAAAGTAAGAATATATTTGTAAATCTTAGTACCTGAAGTATTCTAATGGATTTCCATTTTTTTTTTAAAAGCTAAATGTTGTTTTTAATCAAATCATCCACTGACAAGGTATAACTTGAAGGATTTCCACACCCACCCTAATTATTGCAATTTTTTATTGTTTTTTTTTTTGGGGGGGGGGTTACACTTTTTAGCTCAGGTATTTATCAGTTGCACTGAACAGAATGTACAGAACGTGACATTAAAGGACAAAAGTGTACACAGCTTTTCACATCAATTACCCCCCAAAAATCTGTTTTCTTTAAACTTTAAGAGTCAATGTGAACTGTAACTTGTCTTTATTAAGAAGTTGTAAACTATAATATACCCTTTGATGTGCAGGATCATTAGTAGAGATTTTGTCTTTAAACATCAGTTTTCCTCTGGTTCATGTGCAGTGGCGAGGAAATGACTCAAGATGCCACCTCCAGGCCTCGCGTTCAGCTGACAGACTGCATGTGCCCCAGCCCAGAGAGGTCAGCCGCAAGATGAGCACCAACTCTGAGTATGCAGTTATCACATATGCCTGACCATGGCTGTGTCATTAAATTACATCAGAAATGCATAGACCCACTTATTGTGTAAACCGTGTTTAGAAAACTCCTGTTACTACTGGTTTTGTGGAAGTCCAGGCCTTTTTTTAGTAAGAGCTGCTTTTTATGTAGCGCTTGTTAAAACATGCATAAAAAATTACTTCATGAAAATATTTAGGAACTGTGCACAACTGTTACTTTGTTTTGTTGTTGTGTTTTACTCTGACAACAGTAGACATACATCTATCTATGGACTGCATGTAATAATTAAATATGCTAATACATTTAAATTCTAATTAATTAGTTTTTTTAACTGATTAGTTATTAGGAACAAATTTTTTGACTTGAGAAAAAACACCTTGAAAAGTCATGGTGAGACAGGGAATAATGAAAATTTTTTTTTGTTTGATTCAAAAACACATTTATTCATCAATTTAAACACTGACATCCTTAAGCATTCAGGACTCCTGCTTACAACATTTTCTGAACAATCCTGAATGTCATGAGTGAAGCTTTTCTTTTGTTTATCAAAAACATCATTAATCCCATAAAGTACTCGTGATTAGTGTTTATTTTCAAAACAAGTATATTCTATGTTGTTGTTTTTCCTGCTTTCATAGCATTCGCAGCATTCACAAAACCTACACTCCAGCAAGAAAAGAAGTAAACCTAGTTTATTGCTCTGGTTTACCAGTAAAGTTAGGTTGGAAAAACGATCTTGAAATCTTATCTGGCTAAGAGGTAGAAAACTTCATGTAAATAGCAATGAAAAAGCAGGAGGACTATTTTGCAATGGCAGAAAAGAAGTGGTTGAAAACAGCTTAATATAAACTATCTTAAACAAATAAAATTTCTTGAAACTTTTTAGGACTGTGTGAATTAGTGAACATGCTGTTAATATGCATTACCGTTTTGCTGAAGCAAATTGTCTGTTTTAGTCTAATCGAAAATAAAGGATAACAATCGGCAATAAATAATGACATAAAAGACTTATTGTAAAAGACTGATTGTAAATAGAATATAGAGATATAAGAAATATTTAAAAATTGCACAATCCATGTTTGTGCCGATGACATACACATGTATAGCATATTGTTAAGCATGTTTCACATATCTATCTATATATCTATCTATATATATATATATATATATATATATATATATATATATATATATATATATATATATATATATATATATATATATATATGCTGTAAGAGTTCATATAATAACATGAATTCAGAGGTCCAAACAAGCCACATTAGTCAAACAATGCATTAAGGGTGTTATGAAATAATTTTCAATGGAATACTTGAAAAGATGTGACGACATATTTTAGTAGTAATATTCCTTTTAGTTTTTTGTGCAGCCGACGGTTATTTCGTAAAACTGAAGCACATTGATAGAATACCCATATTTAATGCATAAACTGATTTTTTTTAATGTTATTTTTTTAATAAAAATAATATAACCTGAGAGCTAAAGTTCTTCATAAACAACAATGTTTATATCTTAGAAAACTGTGAAAGTCATAAAATTACAATTCGTGCTGTTGATTTTGTGATTTTATATAATATATCCTCCAGTATTAATTCAATATTTTCATTCATGTCTATTAAAATACATTTTTTATGCATTCATGAATGTATCTTTCCTTTATTCCTTCTCTGTTTCATAAGTCTTTTAAAGATACAAACGCAAATGTTTCTGTGTAAACGTATTTATCTGTATCGTGTGTATAATAAAAATACTACTGAATTATAATAGTCTTTTGTTTTGTGTGTGTGTGTGTGTGTGTGTGTGTGTGTGTGTGTGTGTGTGTGTGTGTGTGTGTGTGTGTGTGTGTGTGTGTGTGTGTGTGTGTGTGTGCAGTTTCTGGCCCTTTTTTGTTTCCGTACTTGAAACCGTCGCTTAGTAACAGAAACCAACAAAACCCGTAACTGACTTTGAAAGCTAACCATAACCGGTAAGCGTGTTGCTAAAAGTAGATTTAAAAACATTTTACGTACGTTGAGACGACTAACTGTTGTGTTTGTACATTTTAAATATTTACTTTAAGAAGCTAACTCTTTAATATATAGTTAGGCCTAATTTCTAAGGTCAGTTAGCTAAATTTAGATCCCATTAAAACCCACATTTTAATTAAAAAAAGAAAGAAAGAAAAGGAAACGAGTAGAAAACGTCTATATTTCGTGGTTATAGTTGGTATCAGACAGCTCTGGAGATGTCAGTGCCTTTCTCCAACACTCACCTGAGAGTCCCGCGAGGTTTCGGAACACTTTTAGAGGGACTGGCCCGAGAGGTTCTCCGGGACCAGCCTGACAACATCCCCGCATATGCAGCGCAGTATTTCGACAAACTTCTAAAAAAAAGAGAAGGTAACTTACACTTCAACATTTTCAATGCTAGACAAACGCCGGTCACTGGTGTTTGTTTGTTTTTGTTTTTTTCCTGGCAGAAAGTGGGGCGGATCCTGCTGAGTGGGCTGCCAGACTAGAAGACAGGTTTTACAACAATCCTGCCTTCAAGAATACAGAGGTATTTATTGTTTTACTTCATAAGATAAAGCTTTTAATATGTCTAACTACTATGAATTTCATTTAATTTGTTTTTTATATTTATTTTCTCCAGACAGCAGGTCCTGAAGTAGAAGCTGCAGCAGAGGCCGGATCTAAGTGAGTCTTGTCTTTATTTGACAGAGGAAGACAGGAAGAGCACAAGAGAAATAATTGAAATATGTTCTCATGAAATTAAACTAAAGTTTATCTTTACATCATTAAAGAACTTAGATTCATTTTGCCATTTATTAAATTATAATATGGATCTCACTGTTAAATCAATATAGGGCCAATTCACAAACCAATAAACTTTTGAGGATGAATGGGACTAATTTATATCCCATTATACTGAAATATAATGGTAAAATGGTAAATGGCTGGTACTTATATAGCACTTTTTTAAGTCAGGAGGCTTGGCCAAAGCACTATACACTACATTTAGTCATTCACTCCTTCACACACACACTGATGGTGGCAAGCTACATTGTAGCCACAGCTGCCCTGGGGCTCACTGACAGAAGTTAGGCTGGCGCACAACGGTGTAGCTTTGATCTCAACTTTGGTAGGGACACTATTGGTCTTAAGTCAGATTGGTCTGAAGTCATCAGTCCTACGTATTACGCATGCTCCTATTTTTTTTTATGCTTGACGTAAGCATCAGGGTGCATTTCCTTCAAAGAGAAATCAGCATGTTTTTGCTACATTCATACAAATTTTATAAGGACTACACACACAAGATGCTGTTTTTAATGTTTGAAGCATGAGTGGCTCGGAATAATGTAAAAGTGGGACAACCTTACACTTTGAAAGGGGTTCCATTTGAACTTACCAGTGACTAAGACGGAAGGTAAATATGTGCCTTTTTAATCAAATATAGTCTAAAGATGTCTTTTGTATGTATATTTATTCGGTGTTTTCTATAGGTAATATGCAGAGGTAAAACCCACTCTAATTTTTTTTTATCTGATATGCTGTTATTCTCTGTATTGTAAAACAAAGCAAAATAACATATTCAAGGGACTGCAAATAGAGTCATTGTATTTACATGGGCGTGGGAACTATAAGAGGAATTGACACTGAGCATTTAAAATATTGACTTAAATATACAAGTTGTGAGAAAAGAAGCGACTGCTGCAACAACGCTGGACTGTAAATTATAAACACGTTATTCACATAGAATTATGGGTAGGGACAAGTAGGTCGGGCCAAAACTTTGGTAGGGACATGTCCCTATGGTCCCTATGCAAACCTACGCCCATGCTGGCACACACAGGCGCCACCGTGCCCTCTGAACACGATCAGGAGGCAATGCAGGTGAAGTCTCTAGCCCAAGGACGCAACAACACTGAAAAGCCAGAGCCAGGGCTTCAACAAACAACCCTTTGGTTGCAGGGTCCAACATCCGCCGCCACTGCCACTCCAGTTAGATCCGATAAATCTATTTTTTTTTAGCTCAATCCAATAATGTAAACAGATTAAAAAACGTACTGACTCCAATTTAGGAGGGATTGTAATACAATACAATCAAATTTAGCTGATCATATAATGCCAATAAGTGGAAAGGAAAGGCAGCTGATTCCATTGAATATTTGGCTTTGCACCAATCCCTCATTCTGAGAAAGGATATGGCAACATTGAAAAAAGAGCGATTCTCCTTTTCACCGGAACTTGTGTTGATGGAAAAATAATAGGCCCCTGCAGTGCCCTCCATCAACCAAGGTTGAGAAACAAAGGTCTTGGTTAGTTGACGGCTTTTCTTTTCTTTTTTTTCTTTTCTTTTTTTTTGTCACAAGTGAGCATGACATGTTGCCTTTTGACATATTTAGCCCATATTATGTAGGTCTACAACTAACAGTTATCTTTCCAAGCAATGGATATTTTGCCCATTATTCTAATTAATTATGAATAGCCATATAGCAAGTGGTGTTTGATATTAGGTGAAAAAAGGAAAAAATAATTGAACCAGATGAAGCCAAAACTCTGCAACTAGAAGGTTTTTGGATAGAGCATATTTACAGACCAAGAGGAATTTTCACCTTAATTGCAAAATGCAAATTTTGTTATACAATTTTGGCGTGAATACTGCTCTGGATGAAAAGGCAGTTTACAATTGCACTTTGAAAATGTGCACAGACATGCTCTGGGTGAGCAAGTTGTTTTGAGCAAATAGCCTATTTTAGAATTTGAACATTTAATAAATTGAAAAGACATTTCATAATCAATTAATCTTAAACAAATCAGATTACCGTAACAGTTTCAGCTCAAATGGTATGTTAACATGTTGTATTGAAGTTATTTCTTGTTTAGTACATTTGTACTTAATACCTATGATTTCTGAAATTACATCAGAAAAATTTGATAAATCAGAGTTAATAAAAAAAAAGAGACCTGCCTGCAAGACCAAGTACATTTCAGATTTACAGCTTCAGGAAAAAGCAGAGCAGAGCTACTTGAGACCAGCAATTTCAGACGCAGGTTTCAGTTTATATGTACAGCTGCATTATTCTAAGCGTTGGTTTGTTCATTAACGTTTTTAAAAATGTCTTCATTTTGTTGTTATTTTTTAGAGAAAAGTCAACTGACTCCCAAACGGAAGAAGAACCAAGTCTTTCAGTCGAAGAAGCAACACTTTCCACTGAACAGTTTCCTAATGCAGATAAAACGGATTCAGCTGGAAGCTCAGCTGATTACGAAAATCATGATACAACAGAAGAACTCACCGTTTCACATGAATTACAGCATACAGAAAACACATCTGTTACTGATAAACAACCAGATGAACAGAGTAGTACAGAAAAAGCTAAAACTAATCAGGTTGACAGACCAGAACGTGAAGTCGATGTTAACCCCGTTCCAAAATGTACAACACACGAGCCTGATATACATCTCTCTAATTTGATGGCAGCCAAAGAAATATCAAATGTAGATATGAGCGAGGCAGGAGTGTTTGGATATGAGGAAGAAGATACACCAGATAATACTTCCAAAATTGAGGAGATTGTTAGCTCCAAAGGAGAGGAAGGTGTTAAAGTATCAGAACTAGTTGAGAGCCTTCAATATTTTGCTCTTGGTGATGCAGATGTCTGTGCTTCAGAGCTTGGAGGATCAAAAAGAACATTAGGAGATGGTATCTCTAAAGAAGATGCATATAGTGCAGAAGAGGAAGAAACTGGTTTTAAAATCCCTCCAGAAAACCATCAGGGAGTACATAATGATGAACAAGAAGCAGATGAGAGGGAAACAGAAACTGACTCTTCTCATGAGGAAACCAATAAAGGATTACTTCACTCTGAGAAATGCTTAGATAACAACTCCTTACCAAAGGAAGATTCTTTGGTTGAGATTAGTTTTGAGGATGATGCGGAGGATAGGTGCATTTCTGAAGTTGTGGGAAAAGATCTTGCGAAGGATGCTGCGATGGAGGATACGATGACTAATGTATCAGAAATGGCCCAACAAGACGAGTTCAAGGAGCTTGTATCAAATTCACCCGATTTGATTGAATCAGACGGTCAAGATAAAGCTGCAATGATGATCATAAGGAAGGAAGTTATGTCAGAAGATGAGGAAATACAAAGCCACGAGGCACCATTTAATACTCTGAAAGATAAAGAGGAAACAAATCCTTTAGATGAGAGTAATGATGATGAAAGAGAGATAGGTAGTAAAACCCCTGAATTGGAAAACAAAATTAAAGATCTGGAAGTAGATCCTAAAAATGATCATGAAATGCTTGATGAAAAACTCAACCTAAATAGAGAGATGGAAGATAATAATCCATCTAATGAGCAGGACGCTAAAGAAGATGAAACAACACACACAGTTAGTACTGAAAGCTACAGTGAGATGGATGATCAGGTCATTAATAAAATGGTAATACCAAACCCATCACTTCTCACTGACTTAAAAATGGCTGTGACAGAGAACAAAACCTTGGAGCAAAATCAAGAACATCTACCAGAACAGAATGAGCAAAGTCCCAGAATAGTTGGAGAGTCAGATGATGTTGCAGAAGAAAAGCAGGACACATTGAAACAAGAAGAAGAAATGGCTAATTCTGAAGTGCAAGAGCCGAGTGAGAAACTGGAAAAAGAGGAGGCTATCCTCTCCACTGTTTGTGCAGATTTGACAGCTGATGACCATAAGGCGGAGGAAAGACCTGCTGCATTTGAGGAGGACACCACAGAATCTGGAAACATCAATGACAAGGTAGTCTTGGTTGTTTGAAAAAAAAAAAAAAAAAAAACTTGTTATGATACATGTCACACTATTTCTAATAATTCAAGCTACAATTTGTATATTCTGTAGGCGATTTCTCATTGATGCCACAACTGTATTACAACTGAAGTATCTTTTTCAGGGCTGAAACAATGAATCGGATGAATCGTGATTAATTGATTATCACTAATTTAGTAATCAGTCAATCATTAACTGGAGTGTAGAGACTCTAAAACATGCATTTAGCTTACATTTAGCTTTAGAGCAGTAATTATGCAAATATTTTATTAAAAAAAACATATCAACATTTTGCATTTAAGATTTAAAAAAAATGTCAGTAACTATGCGCTATCCAGAACTCCTCAAGTAGAAAATGTTAAGTCTCACCTGGTATAATTTCCTAAAAATGATTCTTTAAAGAATCTTTGTCTAACTGATTATAATTTAAAAAATAGTTAACAGATTAATCGACTTGCAAAATAATCATCAGTTACAGCCCTTATTATTTTATTATACTACAGTAATGTCTGAGTAAATGTCCCTTAGTGGATAGAAACCACCCACATTTTAGACACATCAACAAGGTCCTAGTGTGTGGTGTCACACAGTTGAACAGGAAGCCAAAAATGACCGTGGTTACTACAGAGACTTCTGCAGTTAGATGAGCCTATGAAGATGTCCCAGGAGTTCTACTTTAAAATTCTTAGGAAGTATAATTCCCAGGATAGGATTTTTTTTATTTTCATTTTTTCGCCACCTTGAAAACAAACAAATTAAGAATAAAACTAATGAACAAATATATCAGTTTTTAAAAAGTATGTACATTCTTGCAAATATGCCAATAAATTAAAAATGTTTGCATGAACCTCCTCATCACCAATGAACTATCTTGCCAAATTGTGCGTAAAGCATCCAAATGACTACATAAAGGCAGGTCAGTTGTACATATGTAACTCTATATGTTAAATTTCAGCCCTATGTGGTGAGATCTGCACCCAATTCTCCCTTTTAAAAATCATTAATCATATGTTATAATTCCACCTAAACAATAAAAAATAAATAAAATCTTAAAAGCTCAAAATTATCATTAGATAAATACCAATGATTGGTTCATTAAAGCTAACTGGCCTTAATAATAAGACTGTAAGCCCAAAACTCTTCGGAGGGATATGTGTGAAAATATTTTCAGATATTTCTTTCTCCCACAGCACCTTCAATCTGATACACCTCTCTTTTTATTCTGTCCTAGTTATAAATGAGCAACTAAACAATTGGTCTCAAAAAGTAGAACCCCTTTCTGATTTGTCTGGACCAACCAGGCTTCTTTAAACATGTAGGAATGGAGTGTAGGAAGGGGTTCTGAGAATGTTACTATGGTAACTTCTTCACCATGTACGTGTCGTCATGGTTTTAATAGGAGATGTGATGCTGATAGTTGCTAGGCACCCTCTGTATCAGTAACTTACCTTTTAGAGCAGCTTCTAACGCACTGTGTAAAAAAGTAAAACCCCTAACTTTAGTTTAGAGAAACATCTTTTTTTCAATATGGAGACAAAAATAGTAACACTTGAATGTTTGATTTTTTTTTTTTTTTTACTCAATCCAAAATGTTCAGTTGGCTAAACAGCAGCACTTTGACATGTACACAATATATGAAGCAGGTATGAGCAAACTGTCTGCAAAGGAATTCAATACCATCAACTAAAAGGTGTTTACAGTTTCTAAATATTGATCTGTTGATTGTCAGAGTTACTCAGCTTTGAGGTATTACACATGTGTTGCAATTACCATGATAAAAAGCTCCACAAATTGGTAGCGTTACGTTGCTATTTGACATATAAAGCGGATAAATGGATGTTTTTGCTGGTCCTCCCTCTCTCTCGCCGTCTTCTCTGTGAGGCTTGCAGAGGCGTGTGGGCGGCTGTACCAGCTGGGATCAGAGGGATGGAGAGGGCTGTTAGCTCTCTCTGCCTCTAATAAATTTATAACACCTCCCAGCCCCCCCAAAAAATTATCCAAGATGCTCTTGGAGTTTTTGTTTTCACACCAAATGTAGGAATTTTAGGTCGAATATAGTCAGCAGTAATTGTTTTACTGCCATCTGGGCTTTAAATAGTATGTCCATGCTGGTCACTTGTTTTTGTTTTGTTTTAATATGAGGAGTTCCTTAGTGTGACGGAGAAAGTTGTTACAAAAGCAGCTTTCGTGCGAAATAACCTCTTTTTATATTAAAATCATTTAATATCAAGCTGTTAAGTTTTCTCATATAGAATACATAATGCTCCCATGCTTTGTGTTTATCTGCTTAAGTTTGTACTTTATGGACCTGTTAGATATTCGAAGGGTAAAGTAAGCCGAGTAGGTCAGCAACCCAAATGAGGTGGAAAAGATGAAACACATGCTGTTAGGTTTGTAGAAGGTCTCTCTCTCGCTTTCTCTCTCTCTCTTTCTTTCCCTGCCTCTCTCTTTCTCTCTCCTTCTCCCTCTCTGCGTGAGCGGCTGTTACTGAACATACAGCAAATGTTAGCGAGAGCCAGTCAGGCATCTGTATTCTGTCAGAGACCTGCCTAAAGAACATCCTCCTTGGCCCAAGTAGAAATTTAGACGCTAGATCCGTTCACCTGCAGACGGGAGTCATCCGAAAGCAAAAGAGATGGACTGTCATAATGTAAGTAGAGGCTTCAGATAAACTTTTCTGCAGATAACCCTTTAATAGTTGTTTTTGCGATTGAGGTGTGACTTGATGATGACTGGGAGTGTTCTGGATTTTGTCCAACTGCCTTGATGAGCTGGGTTTGTTGTTTTTATTGCGTTTAAAACAGTATGAGGTTTTTTTTCGATAGGAAGAATTTGTAGAAAGAATTGATTATGGTGGATAGAAACATTCTAACTTTACAGATTGGAAAAACAGAGTAATTATGTTGGCAGTGTATGTCTCTGTTCCCCTGTGAAAAAGCTGGATGCTGGCTGCTCTGTAAGCAGTCAGACAGAGAGGCTAATGAATACTGGCCGAACAGGTGGGTGGTCACACTCCCACACTGAAAGGGGTTTCACTGGAGACATGATGCACTGCCTCACCGAGATAGTGGGATGGCACTGGGACTGTTCTGTAGGCTGCCTTTTTTGTGGAAAATGTCAGTCCGTTACCATAAGAAAAGCACGACTTAATCGGGAACTGTTGTCTCTGCATAGATTGAATAGGTGTTTACATAACTCTTCAATATTCGTGGTACTTTTTCACTGACAGTTTGTCACTAGCCAGAATTTCTCTTCCACCCACTCCTGTTCTTCTCTAGGACTGTGGATTCTAAGGGGCTGTCCTGGACTGCAGCAGTTTTTTTGTTGGATCATCTCTTTTCTGGGAAAAACTTGCAGAGAGGGTGAATTTTTATTTGAAATATGGCTTAAAGTGTGAGTTTAGCAACTTTTACTTTAAAAAAAAAAGCCATCTAAGACTGTGCACTGCTATTTCTAGCAGTTTTTTAGTAATAGATTATATATAATAGATGATAGTAATAGATAATACTAGTTATTTCCTAACTTTCTTTTACAATAATAAGGCACACATTTTGGAAAAGTCATTGACATGAACAAAAAAAATGAAGACTTTAAAAAAAATGGGTGTTGAGGTACTGAGAACACAGTAGGATCATAACTGATCACGGCTGCTGAAACAAACATGCTTTAGAGGGAAAAAAAGATACAACTGTTAAGTATTTACAGTTAACTTGGCAAAATATGGTATCCCAATCTGTTTTGATGAATAACTCCCACAAGTGTTTAATGGGAAAAAAAAAAAAAAGTAAGAGAAAACACCATCATACGATCCTAAATCTGTTCCCATGCTGCTGTAAACATACTTTTCCTCGCAGCAGGAGGAGTGCAGCCGACCCCAGGAGGAGGAGGACATCATGGACATCCCCCTAGACGACCCGGAGGCCAACAGAGCTGCTGCCAAGATTCAGGCTGGCTTTCGCGGCCACATGACTCGTAAGAAGATGAAGCCAGAGGACAAAACCGAAGGGGAGGAGGTGAGCAGCACTGGGGATGTGCTCCCCAGCAGCCAGGGGGGCTCAGGTCAGTGAATTAGGGCCAAGGGGTAAGGCTAAGTCCCATAATGCCGTTAAAAAGAGCATTATGGTTAGTGATTCTAAGAGAGAGGCTCCCATCACATGATAACTACTCTTAATAATGTACGGTAAGTGATGGAGAAATTATTAGATCACATTGGTATAATATTTGGATAAAGCCTAATATGTGAATGCAAAATCTGATAATGTCAGGTTGTCTTCTCTGAGACAAACACATGAACAAAATGCAGGAACACAGACTGGTTTACCATCTTTAACATTACAACGACGACCATTTATTCCATTAAATAATTCAGTACATCTTTTAAAAGTCCCTCATGGTTTAAGTCAAGTGTGATTAATGCAAGACATAACAGAGTGACTCATTTAATTACCCCATGGGATAGCGACAGATGATTGAATGTCTCATATCATTTTTTCCCCTTAAGTGCTCGAATGAATCTGCCTCTTGAAGCGAAAGGCAGAAGATGTTCAGGTTTCATTTGCTCGGGAACAATTGCAATGATCTAGCACCAATTTACTAGTCCTAATAGGACACGAGACAGGAGAGGAGAGAGAAAGAGATCAACCTTTAACAACTTTATCAAAAACATTTTTTAAAAATCAGCATTTCTATATGTAACAAAAGCTCAGGATGCGTGAATTGTAATTGGTTTTTGACCCCATTTCTACCACTGTTAAAAACAACTTGGTTAATGGACACAGTGACTCAGTGCACAATAACAGGTTTGGAAGTATTAACACTGAATGTATAACCATAAAAAAAACATTTCAAATAAATGTCCACACAGTAAAAAAAAAAAAAAAAAAAAAAAAACAAGTGCTACTTTAACACCTAAAGAGTTGAATATAACTCTGTTTCAGATAACATTTGGTCCCAGTCCAAATGAGTGTAAAATTTACTCTACAGCTTGTGTCAGATTTTACTTACTTAGTTAATTTTACTCATATTAGTGTTAAAATCAAGAAAACCTCTCAGACTATCGGCTATTCGACACCATATAGAGTAAAGGTTCAACTCCATGGCTGCAAATTTTATACTGATTATTAACTCCAACATTTGAGCAGATATACACTCAGTATAGTTGTAAATACTCCATTTAGAGTTAAATTGGTTAACTCTGAAAATTAAACACACTTTTTTTTTACTGTGCTTGTAGAAGAAATGACAAGAGACTAAAACAGATTAGAGGAGAGGATTTTAGTTAAATGTAGATTTTTCTTAAAATGTGTCTGTTGAAACTTGAGTTAGAAAAAGTTTTCTTCTCCAGTCTGTTGAAACTTGAGTTAGAAAAAGTTTTCTTCTCCAACTTTAAAAAGACAAATCCATGAAATTGAAGGTACAGACTCTTAAACCCGGCTCTTTATAGATGTTTAAAATGTATGTTGTTTCATTTTTTTTTAGAAATCAGTGAATGAGTTCTGTCTCTCCTACCTTATGTTCTGTTTGGTTGCTTTGTCCTAGTCCCCCCTTTTCTTCCAGAGAAGTTGCATAATATACTTTATTAATTCAATTGAGTGCAACCAAATGTAATTTAAGCCATGTGGTGGACATTGCATAGCAATAATAAACTTGAAGCTGGAGTCGAAAAACAAAACAACAAAATAAAACTTGTAGCAACAAAACAAAATGACTTTAAAAAATGAATATGAATTAAATGAAATAAAACTCAAAACCATATCCTCATACTTTCTGTAATATTTCCAAAATAATTTAATTGCATTGTGCTAAACATTTTACAACCATATGCTGGATTTATTTTTGTTTTGGTTCTGATCCTTATTAAGATATGTTGACTCAATATCAAAGGGAAATCAGTAAAAGTAAATTATTTGTGGTCAAATTGTATTTTCCACATTTACTAAAAGGTTTACTTTGGGTAGACTGTTGGTTGTGAAAGTGGTTTCAAAAACATGTTTAGATTAAAAGGTCCAAAACAGGTTTTTTACCAAAGCAACATATGGTGAAGAGGTGAATGACTTTAACTCCAGGCAAAAAAATAGGACAGACAACAAAAAAGAAGAAAGGAAAAAAATTATCAAAAGAAGGCTATTTAAAATGAAGGTAAAATAAAATACAAATGCAGGTAAAAGTTACATTTTTAGAAGCCTCCTTTTATTAAAGACTTATACATAAATTAAAGGCAACATGAATGACATTAAATAAAACTTTAATGTATATGGCCCAACGTTTTCCCCCAATTAGGGCTACTTAAATAAGTAGAATTTTTAACATGGTGGATCTGCATCACTGGTTCCTCCTAACCTAGTTGCTGGAAGCTTTGTGTCTTTAGGTAGGAGTTGTATTAATAGCTGCAGGTGCATTAGGTACAGTACATGCCTAAAACAGCCGAGCAGAATTAATGGACCTGTCGAAGTGGAAGTAAGGCATCTTGAGCTCCTCCCACAGGGGAAGACCCCCTTTTTAGGAAAAGAGGTGCTCATCAGTCATTCCAGCTGCCACCCAGAAAACTCTACTTTAAAACTTAGTTAAACCAGTAAAGATTTGGAATAATATAGAACTCCTTTTTTTCCCTCAACTTATGTTACTTCAGCCCAACCCCAGTGTGTCTTTCTGTCTCAAAGGCTCTTTAACATTGAGTGTAGTGTATTCAGAGCACTTCTTTCTTGGTTCTCCATACCCTAACTACGCCTCACCTGTTTCTGTTTTTAGAGACAGGAAGATCGGGGGCAGTAGAGAGAGACGACACATCTGTGCCGGAGCAGTGATGCCCCTGGCCTGACCTGAGTGATGAGAAGGAGAAGAGTCAAGAGGAGGTGGTGAGAGAGGGCTGGCACAAGCTGGTTTTCTGGCTTACCTTTTTAACCCTGCCCCCTGCACAAATGATTCCCTTTTTTTTCTAACATGAGTTAGCTCTAGAGAATGAACAGTGTTGAGGGTGTGTTATGTGAAATATTTGTGAACTTTAACACTCCCTCCTTGCTTCTTCGATGGCCTCATCAATGCGGATATGTTTGACCCAGAATTTGCAACTCACTGCATGTACTTGTGAAACTTCTGGTACTGTGCTAGTTTTTAGATCATGATCTGTGAATGTGAAAAATGAATGTCCTCCAAATGCTAAACAGGGCTTATGTTTTTTGAATGGATCAGTACATATATCCTGTGTATACACCTTGTATGCATCACTTTTGGTGATTAGTGGCCTATCATGTTTGTTGATTTGTAGTGTTTATTGCAGTGCTTGTATTTTGACAGTTATCTGATTTGCTTACAAAATTATTAAAGCATCCAAATCACCAAAAGAAAGTAGCTATGTATGTTCTATTTGTTCTTTTTATTTTTTTTGACCGCCTGATAAGTCTTTTCACAACTCCAAGCATTTTTTCTATAAATCTGATCTTCCAGAGCATTAAGCATGCAGTATCTCCACTCTTATCCATATGCATTTTAGTACAGCATTACCTTATATGACAGTTCTATATGCTCTCTTTTTGTGTTGTGTATTATGAGTTTTAAATACCCTTTATGCTTCAAAAATTAACAGAGTAAAATCAGAGTTTTGGTGTAGAGACATGGCATTACACTAATAAATCCATTCCAACCACACAGCGAAACGTGAAGATGTGTTTGTTCCAGAAAGGCCACTTTTATCTTCGTCTTTGCCTCGTTCTGCCGTTAAATGGTGAAATGTTCAGCAGCTCTTCCTTCTCTGCAACAGAAGCTGAGTATTTAATGAGAGGAAGCATGTTTTATTGAAAGTTAAACATTGTTTGGTCTGCTGTGGTGTTCACTTATGTAATAAATCTTGTGAATATTTTATAACATAAATGTGTGTTTACCGCGTTGCCGACAAAGTTCTGGGGTGTCTTTCTACACACAATGATATATGTTGTTGTTATATACAGGTTTGAATTTGTTTCTAAGTTTTGTCTTGTGCACTACTTCAATCAATTGCAATAGAATGCTATGTGAAAGAGCATCATAAAGAGGTTAACCTAAAAAAAGTTTGGAAGGCATACAACCCCACCCCCCAAGGTTTCAAAGCAGGTTTGGGTTTAAAATGAAATCCTTCTTCAAACATCTCAAAAAGCACTGAGAACCCATCACCAAGTATGGAAGAATTTTAGCACAATATCAAGATATTTATTGTAACTGGATGAGATGCAGTTGACACGAAATGTGTTACCTAACAACAACAAAAATCTGGATTTTATTAAACAGTCACCTTAAAAGGCAATAAAGGGTCCTATTTGTATGTAACCAAATGTCCTGCAGGCACAGAAAAGTTATGGAAAAGGTGCTAGTTTCTAATCAGAACCTAAATGAAACTAGATGAAAAATGGAAAGCCAACATAACCTCATTACCCTGACAACGCCATTCCCCCAAGGTGGTAGCATCAACATCATGTGGAAATGTTTCTTCTGCAGGTATCGGGAAGCTCTTCAGTTAATATGGAAATCGATGGAACTACCTACCAAGAAGAAAGCAAATCCTAGATGCTTGAAGACACTTGAGAATATGAGGTCCACAAAGACTACACTAAACATTAATCCAGAGCTACAACAGAAATTATCAATATTCATACTGCCTCGTTAAAGTCTAGATTATTACTTGCAGTCCAAATGAGCCATTTCCTCAAGAAATAATTTGCAAACATGTCAGTCTTCAGATGTATAAAACTGGTCTGTCAGTAGTTTTACCCCAAAAGCTTTGCAGCTTGTAGAAAGTAGTTCTGAAAAAAGCTACTCAGGGTTAACTACAAATACACGCAGCACTGATTTAAGTTGGATATTATGTGCTACTTTACGCTTTTCTATCGCAAACGCCTAAAAATGTTTTGTATAAGACATGTATAAGACTTCGAGGTACATATCTTTGCAAGGTGCTATATTTAATAATACATAACTTATTACAATAAGGTTCCATGAACCCCCAAAGTGTAACTCAATTTCTTTTCATTTGCCGAGGCAGTCTTGTTCACTTTATGAGAAACAGGATAGTGCATCTTCAGTCTCCCTGTGCACCCACTCAGCCCACCCACACACATCGGAGCAACGAAGCACACTGCACAAACCAGAGCTGCACATCCTCACACAGGAAGAACACAACCCATCCTTCAACATGCTCATCGCACTCAAGTCACTCTTTCCCACTGTCTGTTGCACACAGTGTCATACACACTGTCACACGCTCTCATGTGATAGGCTATGCCACCAGCTGTAGAGATAGGACAGCCAACATCTTGTTAGAAGTGGTTTTGCGATGGCAGAGTGCAAGCATTTCCTTCTCAGGTTGACATTACTCCTCCTCCTCAATCTCATAAACATCCTCTACGGGTTTTATTTGGACCTATTCTTTTCTCCTACTCAGTCCCAGAGGTGCTACGGCCATATTCTGCTGTCTCTTTAATGACTGTGGGTGAACAATCAATATTATGCACACCTCCAAAGATAGCAAAACACCCACTTTGCACTGTAGATTGAAGTCTGACAGTGAAGGGAAAGACATATTTTAAAAAATCAGCCAGGGAATCGTGATTGCAGGGATACAGAAGGATCACCATGTAAAGTAGTTTGTAAAACATAAACCTCCCTGAAAAGTCTATGTGGCTAAAGCTGGAATATTTTAGAAGTAAAAGAGGAAGGATTTGCTTGGCTGGACATGTTCTATTTCTTAGACTGCTTGTCAGTGAGAGATGATATCTAGTCTCCTGGGTCATAATTAGAGATGAAGAAGCCAGGGCATAAACAGCAGGGGGCGCAATCACATTTTCTCCCATGGCTATTCAATTGGCCCCAACATCTTAGACACACCTACTGAATCTCGAGAGAGACAGACATGAAGATGCAGAACATTGAGCATATATAGGAAATCTTTGTGCTCGTTTTGTTGCTTTACAGCATTGGACTGGGAAAATAAATGTCCCTGAGTTGAATCAGCCTTATGAGGTGATTCATATGAGGTGGATATGAGGTAGAGAGACCAACAGGGTGTTTAAATATATTGTGAAATAGTGTTTTTTTTTTATTAATTGATATACAGTGATAATAGAAACAAAGCTGGGTAAAGTAATATAAGTTTCGATATTAAAGAGAATGTGTCTCAGTAACATCACAGCAATCACTATAATCCAGAATTGTGACAGGTACAAATGTTTTTTATTTCTGCTTACATCTTTCTGTCCGAATGTTTTTTTTTAATTATTTATGTAGGCCATTGATAAAACAAGTAAATGCCATCTTGAGTATGTATGACTTAACATAGTTGATTTAGCTGTACAGTAGAAATTAAATCTGAGCTCTAATACATTTATTTACTCGGCCATCTTCTTTCCTTCCAGTCTTTTTTTTAATTAACAATAAAACTTTGTTCAAAAGCTGAAAAACTACATCAAAAGAGAGAAATATCTAACAAGTGGTATTATTGAGAACAATGGTTTGAGTCATTTAATGTTAAACACCACTGTCTGAATCTCCATTTGTCTTCCTCTCATGTCCCACTTGATTAAGAGCCTATTAGAAGATGAGAGAAGTGGCAAAGTCTGCCTTTTACAGAGGGCAGAGGTGAGGGGAGAGGTTCAGCTTTGATGGCTCCACACATAAGAGGCTAAATCCTGGGTGGCTAACTGCTCCCACAGAGCTCTCAGTCAACCATGGCTCCTCCTCTGCAAAAGGCAACCTTTGTTTTCCAACAAAATCCAGTATAATAAAGACTATCGGAAAGTGTGAGAGATAAACTAAAATGCAGATGACTCATTAGTTTCTACAGGGTAATCTGGAGCCTAAAAAGAGAGATAATTGATAAAACATAGAGATTTTACATATAATAGCGGTATACCTGAAATAAAATGACAAAAAAAAAATCTGGTAGAGATCAAAAATGTCTAAGGAGTTAACATCTTTCAAATTAGGTTTTCTTCCTTATTTACTCTATTTAGTATTTTTTCCAGGAAGGCAATCAATCCTTTTCCTTAAGTTTTACACAGCTTTATGGGCTGGCCAGTACTTTTGATGTCCTCCCTCGTACTGCTCACTGTCGTTTTTCTCAAAGAAGAGGCTACAGCCTCTACTCCACCAAGAGGACAGAGTAAGTATAGCTCTTTAGTTTTGGCCATTTTAGGGCTGATTTTAGTGTAAAAAATTCAAAGAGGTAAATTCCCTTGCAAAAGCAAAAACTTGAAATTTTCCATATTTGGGCTTTTTTTATTTATTTATTTTTACAAATACAATCTGAAGATCAAAGATTTTGGCATGCACTTTGACTGGGTTTTTTTTAACAGATTGTGTGTGAAATATGATTACATCCAAAATCTTCCATTCATTTTAGAATTGCCCTAATTTAGGAAATAAGTGAAGCTTGAATTGATGCATAGAAAAAAAAGTAGAATAGTGGAAATATTGCAATGGAGGAAAATTAAGAAGAGGGCCAGTGTGTAAATACTAATTGTTATTATATTACACCATTCAACAAAAGCATCACAAGTGCATGTTTCCGGGTGTTTTGCTGTCATATGACACAAAATCTGGGTAAAACTTTAGTGCTTGTAAAGGGAAAACGATGAAAGATTGATTTACCTGATCACAAAGGATGCAATAGAAAGATTCACAATTTTTCTATTTTCTATATGTTTAATTATAAAGAAGTGTTTTTGCTTTTGTTCAAAGCAGAAGGGAGACAAAGGCAAGACTTATGAAATATTTTGTAGGTTTTTTCAAGAGCACAAAGTAAATAACTTCACATATAATATTCTTTCTTTTACTTTACGTTTTACATGATTTAAAAGTAATAGAATACACCATAGGTCCTTTTAAAAGTTCAAAGTTAAGAAGATAAAAAGGACAGATCTGCTCTATACATGCTGTCTCAGTGTCACATGAACATGCACACACACAGTTGGCTGTTGTTGGCTGTGAGTGGGGTACTGTGGGGAGAGTGGGGCTCAGTGTGACCAGGCAGAGGCCAGAGTTGGAGGCAGGCAAGCAGTGGAGAGAGTGCTGTGCCACTGAGACGTGCCCGGGGTGGATAAACCATGCTCAATAAACGGGAGAAAGACTCTGCCCAGGACACAAGATGAAGGTGGAGAGGAAGCCCTCCTCTAAAAGTGACAACTTCAGGGACATTCCTTCACTTCTGACATTCTTCTGCCTCCTTCTCCTCCTCCACTTTACAGGTAGGTACAAATATCTGCCGTACAATTAACAAAGTTAACCAAGATTACAGAAAATCTTAAAAAGATATTACTTGGCAAAGCAAATTGTCAGTTTTGTTTTGTACTTCATGTGATTTTTATAATGGAGATAATTAACAAGTTAACTGGTCTTCAGAGATTTTTTTTCCCTTTGGTGTTCCTTTTTTGTTTCCAAAATGGGTTTGTTGAATTTCCATTTTGTGCTCAAAAAAGAACTTGAAGTGGCTGGTGAGAGAGCGCATGAAGGGGACAATACAAGGTCAAGAGTGAGTAAAAAAAAAAAAAAAGAAAGAAAAATAGGATAAGAGGCTGTGAATTGGAAGAGGGTTTGCTTTTCATGAGGAAATTTTTATCAGTTCACTTCAAAGAAATAACTATGAAAAGTTACTTCCCAACAGTACCAAGGGCCCAGTTTAC